TAGATTCTTATTGATGGGTTGCAGAAAAATGAATGTGTTTATCATTTAAATGATTTATTTATGAACCAACGAACGAATGTATGTATGTATGTATGTATATTTTGTTATACAATACAATGTATGTATATATTTGTTTGTGTGTTTTTCCTTTTTTTTCTCTTTTTTTTCTTACATATATACAGAAAATGAGAAAGAGAGAGAGAGAGAAAGAGAGAAAGAGAAAGAGCAAACAACAAGTTGATGTTGGTGTCAGTAAATAATGATAAATTAATATAATAATAATATTAATATTAATAATAATAATGAAGATGACAAACGATGATGATAACAATGATGCTACTGATAATGGCGATGATGATTACGATGATGACGATTATGATGATGATGATGACGTTGATGATGACCGCAAGAAAACTGGTGGTCATTTGAAATCCAATGGCTACCTTCATTGTATGTCAGAGCAATCAATGGTTAAATGCTGGTAGCTCCGAATATTGCATGTTTGTATTTGTGTTTACATGTGTTTTTATGTGTGTGTCTGTGTGTGTGTGTGTTTGTATGTGTGTGTCTGTGTGTGTGTGTGTGTGTGTGTAAGTGTATATGTGTACGTTTTCATGTGTACCAGAAAGAATAATATAATAAAGATTTGTTTTTTAAAATGTATTACATCAAGTTTTGTAATTTTTCAAAGTTAAACTTGAAATAAACATATATACAGTTACACACATTAACCAACGGACACACGTACACATCACAAACACACACACACACACGCACACGCGCACTGCTAAAATTCAGTTACACCCAACATAGCGCACATGATTCAAGCAAAATATGATTTCCGTTCTTCGTTGTTGTTGTTGTTTGTGATGTTGTGATGTTGTGTGTCTGTGACGATGATGTGGTGAATGTTAAAGCCAAGCCAAGCCACACCACATGCAAGCTACTAAGCATACAAAGAAAGTGAAAAGAAGAAGCAAAGTTCACTTTTAAACATTCTCCCGCACGCACAGCAATAAGCACGTATGTGTGTGTGTGTGTGTGTGTGTGATTGTGTGTGTCTGTTTGTATGTGTGTGTGCTTTTGTGTGCGTGTGTTTATGAAAGTGCGTGTGTGCTTGGTTTTAATAGTAATAATAAGTATTAATAATAGAAAGGCTAGCAGTTGTGATGATGTTAATGGCATCATTGCAATTTATTAGCAAGTCGTTAAATTTGCTTCATAGTCTACGCTGATGACGACGACGACGACGATGATGGCGCTGATAAACGATTATCTTGAAGATGAATCCGACAGAGATGATGACGACGATGATTGTGAGGATGTTTGCACTGTAACCGTCAGAAGATGATGATGTTCATGACAATGATGACGTTTTTTGGTGATGAGGATGATGGCGAAGAAGAAGATGAGGATGAAGACGATGACGACGACAATGATGATGCCAGCCTGACTTTGTTGCCACTGCTTTATCAGCCTCCCTTGCTTACTGCTCTCTCACTTTCAAACTCCCTATCTCTCTCTTACACACACAACTCCTCCTCTTTCTTTTCTCTCTATTTCTTCTCTCTTTCTCTTTTTTTTTCTTACAATCTCTCTTGTTTAATTTCTTTAATTTCTTCTTTATTTATTTAAAAAAAAATTTTGGCTTTCATTATTATTCTATTCAATGTCTTTTTCAATTTCGCAATTTCTCTCTCTTTCTCTTTCTCTCTCTCTCTCTCTCTCTTTCTCTCTCTCTCTCTCTCTCTCTCTCTCTCTCTTGTTCTTTCACTCTAAACTTAACTACGCAGTTTCCTAGTCTCACATTTTTAATTTTAAAATAATTTTTCCTAATTCCTAAAAAAAAAATTCAATGTTTTCGAACAACATTTTATGTTTTTTTTTCAGTTCAGTTCATCATAGGGTACCATTTTTGCTGGTTAAATATGAACAACAAAGATAGTAATAGTAAATCAAAAACTTACAGACAAACACACACACACACACAAATACACACAGAAACACACACACAGACACACACCCAGACATAGAGAGAGAGAAAGAGAGAGAGGCACACACACATATTTTCAATAATGCGGTCCCATCATCTTAGTGTAAGAACACCATGATGGCATTTAGTTTAGCAGTATAGGCAGAATGTTTATTTTAAAGTTAACTGCTTTTGGCAATGTGTTATTTCACAATGATCACTACTACCACTGCCACTCCTACTACTATTACTACTACTACTACTTCTACTACTATTATAAATTATAACACAACAACAACAACTACTACTACTTAGTACTACTACAACAACAACAACAACTACTACTACTACTAGTACTACTACTACTACTACTACTTTTACTACTACTACTACTACTACTACTACTACTACTTTTACTACTACTACTACTACTACTTTTACTACTACTACTACTACTACTACTACTACTACTACTATTACTACTACTACTACTAATAATAATAATAATAATAACACTACTACTACTATTTCACTTGTTTTATTACTGATATGCACTTTCATCCCTCCATTCACACTTGCCAGAGCAATTATTTAATATAAAATTAATGATAATAATAACAATAACTTCAACAACAATAATAATATTAAATAATAATAATAAATAAATAAATAATTATTAATATATTATCATCACCATCCCAATTCACTTAGCGCTTCATTATAATAGCACGCGGGCAAAATGGATGACGAAAGATAATCCCGAGACGTATTTTTTACCAGCCATCATCGCCATTATTATTGCTCCATGCTAAATACAAAACACATGCCTTATTTAATGAAATTATCAACAATAATAATTATTATTATTATTTATAATTAATATTATTATTATTGTATATAATCGTTAACATTTCATTCATAATTAAAATATTTAATACCGGTAAATGCTTTGATTTTATCACATTTTTTTCGTAAAATATAAACCACATGTGTGGTATTGTATCAATTAAACAGCTCCATTTCAGCTAATTACAACCATTCTATCATAATAAATATTAATAAGACTCTAGTCAAGGAAAGCAAGCAAGCCACTAAGCCAAGCTTAGCATATGATGTCATTTTCTCCCAATTCTTCCGCTTAAGTAAGGTTCGAGATGTGGTAAATAAACACATTCATCCTCACGTGTTTCTCCAAACATTTTAACGATATTTTAAAATATACATATACGTATTAATAAACGAACTTCCCCATACAAATGCGAGCACATACACGCAGACTCATACAAGGTACACATGATAAATGCGCAGCGAAACAAAATTCTATTTGCTTCTTGAAGATGAAAATTAACACATGTACAGATATACATACATATACACACACACACACACATACAAACATACACACAGATACACACACACACATAAAAACATTCTTTGCGTGTGATTTATCATGTTTTTGTCGCTTCAATTGTAAAAACTTGCCCCTGGCTGTTGAAAGTGAAACAAACAAACAAAGAGTATAAATAAGCTTGCATGCGTTCGCCTGCACTGAACATTAAATTGAATACAGTTAGCGAGTTACGTTAACAAAGTTGGCGTAGCATCCTATCATTCTGTAAACATTTGTGTGTTTTCGTGTGTGTGTGTGTGTGTGTGTGTGTGTGTGTGTCTTCGTTCTGTTGTGGGTGTCTGTGTTTGCTCTGTACGTGCTTATTTGCGTGTACGCCTTTCAAGAATCATTTAATGTCCGTATAGATTTATGTATGTGCGCTTTTATGGATGTGTATATTCTTGTACGTTTGTGTACATGTAAGAATGAAAGTTTGTATATTTTGTATGTTGTTGTTGTTGCTGCTGCTGTGAATGTCGTATTCAATCCTTCCTTCCTCATCGAGCTTGAAAGTCTGTTGTTGTGCTGACTGCCTGCCTGCCTGCTTGTGCAGTGCTAACTTATTCATTCCTACCTACGATACATGCCATATGGATTACATATATAAACACATAAACACACACACACACACACACACACACACACACACACACACACACACATACATTCATACACAGTACATAGATACCGTGATAGTATAGATGTATATATATATATATATATATATATATATACAAACTATACGCATACATGTACAACACAGACATGTACAAAAGCTACCATACGCGTGCCTATATAAGTATATATATATATATATATATATATATATATATATATATGTGTGTGTGTATACACACAATTAGATATATACAATACAATATTTACATATATATATATATATATATATATATACACTTTTGAATGTATGTCATTAGATAGATATAAGGACGGAGATTTTGCCTGCTTAGGATTGCTTGTTTAATACAATAGTATTCATCTTTCTCGAGTTAGTCTGGCTTCTCTTCTGGTGCTAATTGTATTTGTGGTAATAAATAGATAGATAGATATACATAGTACGTATAAATGTGTGTGTGTATGTATGTGTTGGTACCCAGCTGTACACAAGTTCGTAGATATGTTTGTATACATTTAGTTGATGAAGAAAAAGTGAGAAAAATATAATAAAAAGTTAATTAATTAAATTTATAAATACACAAACAAACAAACAAACAAACCATCATATTTATTCCAGTGAAATGAATAGTGACACAGATCTTCCTTACAGTATTTAAATGGCTCTCTCTTTGGTTGTACATTTCTCTATGAAGACGATTGCATAGTCATAGTGCATCAACCGACAACATCAACGATACTGACATCAACAACAAAATAACATCAACAACACCAACAACTTCAACAACATCAACACAACATGTCCAGTTGTGAATCGTATTTGGATAAGAAGGAGGATTTAGCCATCGGTCGTGGGTTAACTGAAGATTATACTGAAGACAACAACAACAACAATGACGACGACAATGATGATGACACCAACAACAACATCAACAATAACATTAGCAATAACAACAACATCAACAACAACATCAACAACAACAATTGCGATGACATCAACAACAACAACATCATAGTCAATACTACAATTGATTTAATAATTCAAAAGAACAACGACAATAATAATAATAACAATAATAATAACAATAATAATATTAATAATAATACTATAGACTATAATTGTGATGAAAGCAATGTTAATGTTTTCTTTTGGGAGGATAAAATTATTGATAACAACAACAATGATGTACTTAGTAGCAACAACAACAACAACAACAACAATAATAATAACAATGGTAATAATAAAAATAACAGTAATAACCACGATGACAATAATATCATGAAGAGCAGTGATTACAACTACAACAATGACAATATCATTGCAAATGATAATCATAATAATGATGATGATTGTGATTTGTTAATAATCAGCAAAAACATCAACAACATCAACAACAACACCATCAACATCAACAGCAACAACATGACTGGCAATATCACTAATATGACATTAAGATTAAACACGTCTCAACATGACTCGGAGATTGTTGTTTCTGACAGCAACAGCAATAACATCAATAACAACAAAAATGACGTCATCTTCAGCAACAATAACAACAACAACAACAATATGATGAACTATGAAAATGATGACGACGAAGACGACGATGATAACTTTGTCATTGACGAACAAGCTAATGATTATGACAACGATGATGATAATAAAGATGATGGAGTGGAGACAATTTTTGTGAGTAATAACAACAATAACCATGATAAAAACGGCATTATCTTGTATCATCAGAAAGGTACCAGACAACAATCGCCACAACGGCCACAACAACAACAGCAGCAGCAACTACAGCAGCAGCAACAGCCACAACAACAACAGCCACAACAGCAAATAGTCATTGATGTTGACAATGACGTGATATGTTACGACCCAAATGATAACATATTTAAGAAAAATTCTGTTACTTCTACTACTACTACTACTACTTCTTCTACCACCACTACTACTACTACCACTACTACTACTACCACTATTACTACTGCTGCTAGTACTACTGCTGCTTCTACTACTGCTGCTGCAACTACTGCTGCTACAACTCCTACAAACAATACTGTTTCTATTATTAAGAATAGCATCATGGCGGTTACTTCGAGCAACACTCCGATCTATAGGAATCATAATAATACTACAACAAACGCATTTACTGTTAGCAGAATTAGTAACGCGCCCATTTGCCTTGGCAGTCTGAGTAGCAGCAGTGGCCTGAATAGGAGTGTTGTAAGTAGTAACAATGCGGTGATAACTATCAATGATAACAAATATAAAGCATTCAGTGGTAATGTGATCTCCATACTGCGACCACCATCGTCAGTGTCGCCGTCGTCATCATTTTCTTCCTCTTCATCACCTTCACAGTTACTGAATTTGCGGTCATCGTCGTCATCATCATCATCATTATCATCGTTATTTCACATAACATCGTCGTCGTTGTCATCATCATCATTTACTCCTCGACCAATCATAATCGCTCCAATAACTTCACCCAACCAATCATCATCTCCTATTAACTCGACTTCTACAACTAATTCCAGCTCGCCATTTTCTTGCTTAACCACTTCCGATCAGAGTGCTTCTTCCGGTCAAAATGCCACTTCCGGTCAGAACGCCTTTTTGGGTGGAAATTTAGCTCGCCAGCAGTCGTGGATTTGCACGCTCTGCTCTCTGAAGTACAAACGTCCAGCTGACCTGAATCGCCACATGAAGCGCAAACACGGATTGTCTCTTATGAAAAATGATAAAAATGTTCTGGTGCCTATCGTCGTGCCTACGTCACTTCCTCCTGGACAGCAGCCCCAACAGCAGCTGATTCAGCAACCACAGCAGCAGCTGATTCAGCAACCACAGCAGCAACTGCTTCAGCAACCTCATCAGCAACAGCAAATACAATTCATTCTCCCATCAGTGGAATCATCATCCGCAGCTCTACTCTCTGGACAACTAGATATGTCTGCGTCTGTCTGTAGCTACAACAACAATGGTAATAATAATAATAATAATAATAATAATAATAACAATGAAAACGGCGACAGTGCGCATTTCTTCCCGATGTTGCATTCATCATCGCCATTATCACTTCCGATTTTCTTCCAGCCATCAGCAGCTCACAGCCACCATCCACATTGCTACCATCTCGTCGAGCATCATGATGAACAAATTATTTCAAACAAGACATCATCATTTTTATCATCATCGTCGTCATCGTCATCAGCAGCTACAATCATATCATCACCATCTTCATCATCCTGTCTTTCTCAACAGCAGCATGATTATAATGATCTGATCAACAAGAGCATCGTCACAAACAGCAGCAACAACAACAACAAAGTTTTTGTTACCAACAACAACAACAACAACAACAACAACATCAACTTGAACAACTTAATCGACATCAACAACAACGACACAAATTGCGCATCGACGAATGCTACAGCATCAAATCTTTCCAATGGCGACAAAGTAAAATTAGAAACAGACGACAACAACAACAACAGTAACAGTCATAACATTATCAACAGCATCAACAACAACATTCATAACATCAACAACAACATCAACATCAATGACATCATCAGCAACAACATCAGCAACAGCAGTTGTTTTTATGAAGACAACTCAGACCAGCCATTAAACCTTAGTTTGAAAAGCATCTACAACGACAGAAACAACAACACGATGGACATTTCAAATTACTCGCCAGATGGCCTGGACCCCCTTGATTTAACGATAAAGTCTCCAGTAAAATGCGCCCCTATCGATTATCGTAAGAAAACTTCAAACGTAACTGCCGATAAATCATCCTCTGCTTTGAGGTAAAGTTACATTTTTGAATGTTCTTGTAGAATTATTTGTGTTGCATTAATTTCAGTTGATGTAAATAAAGTTTAATTTAAATATTTTGCTTTTATTCTTATCTAAATTACAAAAATTCGAGTTTCTGGTTTGTAATTTATTAAATATTGAAATCAAATCATCGGCAGAATATGAAAACGGTATATATAATTTCTTGAAAATCTATCTTTCCAGTCCCATAAATGCCGTAGCAAATGAAAAGAAAAACCACGACAATGACGTCATCCTACCAGTGAGCCCACAGAGCAACCACAATCAACAACAATATCAAATTTTCAGCTCTCAACTCGAACCGCCGATAATCATCACGTCACTCACATCATCATCATCATCATCCTCATCTTCATATCAATCAGCATCATCATCATCATCACCATATCAATCATTACCAACCTATCCATCGTCAACTTACTCATTGTCAACTTACTCATCGTCATCGTCATCCTGCTACTACGGTCGGTCATCGGTTTCAACCGCTCCGTCGATTCGATACCGACCTTTCAAATGCTCCGAATGTGGCCGCCGGTCGAACTGGAGATGGGACCTGAACAAGCACATCCGGACGAGTAGCCACCCTCACGCACATCTCATCGAACTTCCTGAACATGTCGCCAAGGCCACTTTCCACGAGGTCCTCAAGAAAGACAGTGGCTACGACATTGACAGCTACTTTAAGTAGGAGATTTTTGAGTTTCGGTGCTATTTAAATGGTAATTTAAATAGCAATTTGAATATTATTCTTCTATTTCTTGTAAAATAATAAATATCGAGAACATAATTTTTTATGAAATTTAAAATATTTTTAAATCATTGCACTGGAGCAGCAACGAACAGCAGCAGTACGAATCAGCCAACAACTTCAAACCGGACATCACTGCAACGAATACCACCAGCCCATCCCTACTTTCATCCGTCAAATACAAGCCATTCATGTGTGGCACGTGTGGGTACAGGTGCAACTGGAAGTGTGACATAAACAGGCACATCAAATCGGTTCACGGTACATCAACTATCCGATTTCTTACCGAAACGGTCGCCAGGGAGACATTTCCCGACTACGAGAAACAATACCGAAACCAGCCATGGAAAATGCAACAGGGTGGAAATCTCCAGCCCAACCAACACGAGACGGTATCAAGCGGCAACGGCAGCAGCACGCCAGGATGTTTATACCTGAGTGACTCTGGTTCAAATGCAGACGGATCCATACTGATGACCTACGACGGAGACTCCGGCATGGCTTCCTTCACAACTTCACACACGGTCGATGCAAAGAAGACGAAAAAGTTCAAATGTTCATCCTGTCCGTATCGCTCGAATTTCAGGAGCGATGTTGGCAGACACATTAGACACAAACACGACCGAGCTCAGTGCAAAATTGTCGTCATGAGCGACGAAGAGGCCGCCTCGACACTAGACGAGTACATGATAACTTGGGCTAGGAAAAAATTTATCCCGATACCTAACAAACGTCGATTTGTAATTCTGAATGATGGCTCAGTTTCTGAGCAGTGTACTATGACAGCGTGCCAACCAACCCTCCAACCAATCATCGTCTCGTCTACCACCTCGCTGAGTGCAGATGAAAAAACTGACGGAAGGATGGACGAGAAGATGGATGAAAGAATGAACGAAGACGCGGAGAGTTGTTCGAGTTTGAATTCAAGTCTCGACGCTAAAAGTGACATCAACAACAATATCGCTGCTGCTGCTGCTGCTACTACCGCCACTACTACCGTTGACACCAACAACAGTGGCAACAATAGCAACAACAGCAACAACAACATTAGTATCAACAACAACAATAATTACAACAATAATAACATTCAAAATAATAATAATGGCAAGTCTTACAGACCATGGTGGAAGTGCAGTAGATGTGATATGAGGAACCTTTGTAAGGAAGTCATCGTGCAACATTGGAAGGCAGCGCACGGCAACAACAACAACAAAAATAACACCAATAGTAACATCAATAACAACTATAATAACATCCACAACAACAACAGTAATAATAACAATGTTAATATTAATCCGAATGATTTTTCATATGATTTTATCTCGCCAGCTAAAAAACCACGTTTGGATATCATGAGCAGCAATACTCTTACTACTGGTACTACTGCTGCCGCTGCTACTACTACAACTGCTACTACTACTAATAATAGTTATAACAATAATTATAATATTTATACTACTACTACTACTACTACTGATGAAATGAATACTAATAGTAAAAGTGCTCAGATTGCAAATACCATTCATAAAGGAAATAATAGTCTATTTAGTTCTACTGCTACTACTACTAATAATACTACTAATACTACTACTACTATTACAACCACCACAAACGCTTCTACTGCTACTACTACTACTACTACTACTACTACTACTAACAATAATAATAAAACTAGAGCCGATTTAATTATAAAAGACGGCAAAATTATCAAAATGGACGTAGATGAAGACGACGACGATGATGATGGTTACGACGACGATGATGATGATGATACGATGAATCTATTGAATGATGATGAGTTGTACAACAACAACAATAACAATGATAATAATGGCAATATGAATGATAAGAATAAAAATTGTGACGATTTTAAGAAGAGATTTATGGAGAGCTTACATCTAATGCAAGTCGCCAATCCCTAACTTTGTGTGTGTTTATGTATGTGTGTCTGTCTGTGTGTGTGTGTGTAGCGTTTATATATATAGTATTATATAGTATTAAATCAGTGCCTATGATATTATTGTAATATTGTACCAGTTTGAATTTTCAAAGATTTTATTATTAATGATTATTTTTATTATTATTATGATTGTTATTGTTATTTCTAAGTATTAAATTTCTATTTTCTTGTTTAGAAATGTTTCTTCTCGTTCCCAATCTATTTACTGTTTCCAATTTATTGATATTTTTTACAAATTAGATAAGTTTTTTACTAGTCAGATTATGATGATGATTGAAAATAATAATAGTAATGATAATAATGATATCATTTGCTTCATGTGCCTAAAGACGATTTTTTTCTATGCCGATTTCATCTGTTAAATTTTGATAACTTTATGAGACTAATTGTATTTTTTTTGTTAAACCGAAGTGCAATTTATGTTATAAAAAGTATTTTATATTCTAATCAATCAATCAATCAATCATTCACTCAATCACTCATTTATTCGTTCATTTTTGTTTTCAACAATTTATAAATCGTTGTAATTTAATTTTTTCCGCCAAAATATTTTCTATCAGAAGTGGACAAATAAAAGGAATTTTCTCCTTGCTTCCATTAATTTTCATTCATTCATTCATTCATTCATTCATTCATTCATTCATTCATTCATTCATTCATTCATTCATTCATCCATTTATTTATTTATTAAAACCAACAATAATAATAATGAAATAATAATAATAATAATAAGTTTGCAATAATAATATTAATAATGTCGATAAAAACACACAGGCCTAAAACGGAAAGCCGATATAAACAATCTATTGATGAAAAAAAGAGAAAAATGATTCATTCATTCCATAAAAAACAGAACTAATTTCGAACATTCATTCATTCATTCATTCAGTCAGTCAGTTCTACTATGCAATCGTTCAGGCCTGCCATTCATTTAGTCGTAAAATTCATTTAATCATTCACTATCCATCCATTTAATTGATCCTGCATTGATCGCTCATTCATCAATACATTCAATTCTTCAATCGACCAATCAATCAAACGATCAATCCAATCAATCATCCATTTATTCATTTAGTCCTGTAGACTCCTTTAAAACCGCCACCATTTTTTCCGTCACTTTCTCCCTTCATTCCTCCTTCTCTCTCATCATTTCCTCTATCTGCCTTTCCTTTCATTCCCCTTCCCTCTCCTCCTCCGCCGCCATCTTGATCGCCGCCATCTTCACTAATCGGCCGCCTGACTAATTGTTTCTTCCCGAACGGCGGGGGTCCAACGAGCTGCTCCATGTCAGAGTAGCTGAGTGTCTCTTTTTCTAGCAGAGCTTCGGCTACCTGCGATAATTAGTAATTAAAATTAAATTATCATAATTGCAAATATAATAATAATTATATTATTATTATATTAATAATAATTATATTATGATTATATTAATAATAATAATTATATTATTATTGCGATTTTATTAAGGATTTGTCATCGGCCATGGGTAATAATTAATATACAAACATGAAATTTTGTGCTAATCGTCTCACCTTAATCACAATCATCAATATCTTAATCAACATCACCATCATCATTGCCATCATCATCATCATCTTAACCATCATTATCACTGCCATCATAATCATCTTAACCATCATCATCATTATCATACCCTTTTAAGTTTTTCCTTATTTTCTGTCAGCAGTTTTTCTGTGAATTTGTAGACTTTTGCCACTAGGAGCCTAGCTTCCTATAGGCAAGAAATGAACAACAACAACAACAATCATCATCGTCGTCATCGTAACCACCACTGTCATATTAACAACAATGACGTCACAAACTGACTCACGTGATCAATCATCCTGGCAGTTTCTTTACTGAAAGGTTTGAGACTGTATTCTGATGACGACGATGATGACGTTGGAAACGAAACGAGACCAACTCGTTCATTCATCCCCATGACTCTCACCTGATCGTACGCCATCTTTGTTACCTTTTTCAAATCATCCTCTGCGCCTGAATCGTGATTGGTTAGTTCTTTTTTAGCGTTCTATTTTGTTATTGGTCGATGAGAAGTGGTGCTGTATTCTGATTGGTTGTTTGAGAAGGGTCTGTTTTTCTCTAAATGATTGTTAGGTGGGTGTTGGATTGTTTTGATTGGTTGTTTGACTAGTCAGTGAGGGATGTACCATTTTTGGGTTTCGGTCTAAATATGAAAAAGATGTATTAATAGATTGTAACCGGAAGTAACAGAATTAAAGGTCAAGGAGAAGTGGTGCTGTATTCTGATTGGTTGTTTGAGAAGTGGTCTGTTTTTCTCTAAATGATTGTTAGGTGGGTGTTGGATTGTTTTGATTGGTTGTTTGACTAGTCAGTGAGGGATGTACCATTTTTGGGTTTCGGTCTAAATATGAAAAAGATGTATTAATAGATTGTAACCGGAAGTAACAGAGTTAAAGGTCAAGGACTCAGCCACACGACCACCAAGCAACAAGGACATTTGCTGGAAGAGCTGATAAATTTTTACAAACTTAATTAATTAACTCATAAATAAAAAATATAAAATCACTCATCTATACATCTATCCCATCCATCTATCCCTCTATTCATTCATCTATTCATCCATCCATCTAACTCACTGCTTCAGAAGAAAAAAGATGCCTATCTTGTGGGATGTAGTGGGCGAATCCTAGAACGTGATTGGTTCTCGGAATTATTGACACCTGTCAATCAAAAATTAAACACTCACTCACTCACTCACTCAATTAATCAATCAATCAGTTGTCCAAAGACCTTAAGTAAACAATTGGTATGCTCTAGAAGCCAGCCCACCAATGCGTGCCCTGCCTCGTGATAGGATACAACTTTCTTCTCTAACTCTGACAGGACGCGACTTTTTTTAGCCACGCCTTCGTGAATAAATTAAAAAACTAATTAGTACGTTTATTAATTAGTAGTAGTAGTAGCAGCGGCAGCTACTACTACTACCACTAACCAGCGGTAACTCTTTCAACGGCATAATCGAAATCAGAAAAATCGACGTTTTTGTGGCCAAGTCTTGCTGCATGTAGCGCTGCTTCGTTGCATATGTTCGCTATGTCTGCTCCTGTTAACGCGTGTGTTTGTGTGTGTGTGTCTATGTATGTGTTTGTCTACAACACATGTGTTTGTCTACAACACATCTGCGTACACTGTATAAGTGTGTACAATAAAATACACGTTCGTAGTACAACTCCAGTTATTTTGCGTTAATGGATGTATCGTATATCGTAGTTGGGTTTTAATTAAATTTGCGCGTTAATTTAAAGTTTCAACACGTACGTATGTTTGTACGTGTGATACGTTTGTATTACGGTTGAGTGTTCGTTACGCAAGTTAGAACTTTTCAACTGACCACTCATTCCAGGCGACATCTGGGCCAAGTTTTCCGAGTAAGCCCTGGGTGGCTGTTTCAGTTTCAGTGTCTTTAAATAGATTTCGAAAATTTCCAACCTCTCTTTCAGCGTTGGGAAATCAATGAGGATGTGTCGGTCGAATCTGCCAGCCCTCAACAGCGCCTAAACATTTTATTTTAAACGCAATTAACGTAAAGCCACGCTGAAAATACTCAAAAATTAATTCTTAGTAACGCTACTGGGTAGTGAAAATCACTGGCTCCACCCACCTTGTCTAATACTTCAGCCCTATTGGTCGAACCGAGGACGATGACCCCCTCCTTGGTGCCGATGCCGTCCATTTCGACCAATAGTTGGTTGAGGGTGTGTTCTTCCTCGCTGCTCCCTGGCGACCAGTTACTAGGGGAGGGGGTGGGTGTGATGTTTAATATTTATGATTATCATCATTTTCTACTTCATCGTCAACATCGTCGTCATCATCATCATTATCATCATCACGATTGTCATCGTCGTCATCATCGTCGCCACCACGACTGTCCACCCACCACTCACTCTCCCGATCTCTTCCTCCCAATGGCATCGATCTCATCAATGTAGACGATGCACGGCGACCTCGACCTTGCTTCCTTGAACAGATCCCTCACCCTGGCCGCCCCCAATCCTGATGACGATCACGACGACGACGATGATGATGATGACCGGACGATGATGATGATGACCGGATGATGATGATGATGATGATTACGACAAGATGATGATGATGATTACGACCAGATGATGACTGCGTAATGATAATAATGATGATGAAAGCAAGACATACCTCCAAGCATTTCCACAAATTCTGAACCGGCCATTGCAAGGAATGGGACCTAGAAATGAATAAGAGATAATAAATAAATAATATTAAATATATTAAAGAATAATGAACAAATGAATGAACAACGTACAAACAAACAAATAAACAAACAAACAAACGTATCAAAAATTACTGAAAAAAATAAACAAACAACTGAACAGACAACTGAACAAAAACAAACATACGCTAAAAAACAAAACGCAAAAACAAAAAACTCCAAAATATAGCCCAACCTTCGCCTCTGTGGCCACAGCTTTGGCCAGCAGTGTCTTCCCGCAACCAGGAGGGCCCAAGAGGAGTGCCCCCCTTGGAATTTTCGCCCCCAAACTCTGATAACTTTTAGGATTCTTGAGGTAGTCGACGAATTCCATGATTTCGATTTTGGCTTCATGAAGCCCTGCAACGTCCTGGAAAGTAATTCCTTTGCCCTTCTTCGTCAGCAGGTCGACGCGCATGAAGTTTGCCTTCCGTTCACCCGACTGTTTGTTCGTTGGTGTGTTCGTGTGTTTGTTCGTTCGTGTGTTTATTCGTTCGTTTGTTCGTTCGTTTGTTTGATTGTTAATAGTTAAAACATGACCGCTGTATGCGTATGTAGTTACATGTATATAATTTATACGTGCATACAAAATAACACACGCCAGCTATACAAGAACACACAAACACACACACACGCACGCACACACGCATGCACAACATACACACGCATTTTTTCTATACAAAAATATGTGTGTACGTATTGTATGCCCATGAATATTTATGAATAATAAGATAAGTAGAGATGTGACTGACAAAGAGTTCGTTGGAGCCCTGGGCGGGGTACTTCAGGAGTACGTAGGCCATCATAAATCCAAAGATCAAAATCAAAGATAATGATATCAATTTGAATGAGGTACTGTTGGTGGTGATGATGATGGTGAAGATGATGATGATGGTGGTGGTAATGATGATGAATAATATTATTAAAATATGTACTATTAATTAATCAATCAACCAGCCATTTAAACCGCAAGCCAACCAATCATTCAATTAACTATTCAGTCAAACAACCAACCAATCAATCAACCAACCAACTTACCAATAAATCAACCAATCAACCAGTCAACCAATCAATCAATCCGCTAACTCAATCCGGCTGTATATGACGGGGATTGAATTCTCTGGTTTAATTCCAAGGGCAATCTCCGTCTCCCTCAGCCTGTCTTCAAACTTGTCGAAATCGTTTGGGTTTATCAAGAAGGACCGGTTCATTTCCGTCAACTAGCGAATGAAAGAATGAATGAATGAATAAATGAATAAACGAATGAATGAATAAACGAATGAATGAATAAACGAATGAATGAATAAACGAATGAATGAATAATTAAATGAATGAATGAATAAATGATAAAAGAGTGAATGATTTAATTGACCAATGAAACAAACAAAGAGCAACAAAACCTTGAGGTCCTTGTATATAGCCCCCTGGCGGGCTTTTATTGTGATGTGTCTTTGATCCAGATTTATAATAATCTTCTCTACCTACCATTGAAAACGAAAGAATGAATGAGTGAATGAATGAATGATTTAACAAACAAACTAACGAACGAACAAATGAACGAACGAACAAACGAACGAACGAACGAATGAACAAACGAACGAGCAAACGAACGAACGGTTCATAAAAATCATTCTACAACCTCTCCTTTGGATAGCAATTCCTTAGAGAACTCGTCGAAGGTTAGGACTTTTTCGACATTTTGATACTGGCCTATGTATATCACTGCTATCCAAGTTAGAAAGAACCAGAACAACAACTTCTGCATTGGTGTCATCTTGAATTTACCATCTGGAGGAATGTCAAGAGTAAATTTAATTCAATTGGAATTTAATTTAAATGGGAGAAAAATTTGAATTTAATTTAAAGGAAGAAGAATTACTAAATAGGTATTAATAAGAATGAAAATGAAGTTGGCACAATGGATAGTGTAACTAGTACAGCTTTTGCATTGACCGGGTTCGAATGCAAATAGATTCCCACTTATTACATAATGCATTAATTCATAGGCAATCACATAGACTGCATGCCTGTTGTTGAAATCCTTGAGTTGTACTTAAAAAATAACATGATAAAGGATGGTGATAGGATCAATTCAACGATAATGAAGAAGAAGAAGATGATGATGATGATAACCATTATCATTATTCTCATTATCATTTTGATCAAATCTTTTGCCAGATGTCGAGTCATCAGTTTTTCGAGCTCTGTCATTTCCTGGTTTGTCTTTCCTACTCGAGCATCTTAAGAAAGCTACCAAATAAAAAATGATAATAATAATCATAATAAAAATAATAAAAATGACAAAAATTATAATTAAAGTAATATTTTACCATTGTGAAATACATTTGAACGTGGTGTTAATGCAATTTCTTCATTTCTCATGAGACTGTCAAACATAAGTTTCAATGTCCTGTCAGTAGATTTGATGCATGTCTACGGAGTGATTAGTTAGTGGATTTGATGCATGTCTACGGAGTGATTAATTAGTGAAAATTCAAATTAGTGAACAAACTTCAAATAAATTATTATACTGGAAGTTTCAAAATATTAATGTTACAAATAAAATAAATAATTAAATCAAACTAAAAAAACTAAATCACCATCAATGATTGTTGATTAGCTATTTAGCAAAACAACAGCATACATCTAACTAAACTAACATCTATATAAAATTCAACATATAACAAATTATATATTATACAAATTATACATCAAAATATTCATTGAATATATGGAAAACAAACTTATTTATAAATATTATTAATTTTAATTAATTTGAATTGAAAATAAATATTTTTTTATTAAATGAATACAAGCAATCACTTCATTCCACACATACATGACAGCCAGATGTTGTTGATGATGATGATATTGAAGCAAGCAGACCACAGACAGAGTCGTAAACTTTTTTAACATTTTCAAGAAAATCATCATTAAACTTCTTAAAAAAGTAATTATTATTATTATAAAATTTGGATTCCACCCAACAAGAAGAACTTCTGGTTCTGTTGAGACAACGGTGTGAATTCAAGCTAACAACTTTTGAGAGTTGCTTAGCAAAGTTTAGAAATCTTAGAAAAGTCATTTTGTATAATTTTAAAACCTATTTTGTTACACTAAACCGCTGAAATTTGAGCTTTCTGTTTTTTAATTTATAAAAACTCGTTTTACGCTAGAATTTACTTTTAACTTGTAAACATTTGTTGTAAAAGTAAATTTATGTTAAAAGACGAAGTAAACTTTCACACTATTTACTTTTTTACCTAATTAATATAACATTATTGAAGTACAAAGTATGCAAAGTATAAACATGAATTATATTTTAATATGTAACAATTAAAAACAATGTAAAATTAACTCAATTTATAAATTTTGAATTGAAATTTTTTTAAAAGCGGCTTTACTTTTAATGTCAAATGTATTCCAATAACATGTCGCTTATTTTTAAACATTTTGCAATTTTGGATCATTGCCTGCTTTTCTAGTAAACCTCGTACTTTTTCTATTTTAATCAATATTTTTTAAATTGAGTTTTACTACGGAAAATGGAGAATTTGGAAAAGAGGAATGGTAGACCGGGCGAAATTGGTTACGTCCAGAACGTGAAGGATATGCCGGCCAATGCCATTCCTATGTCTTCCAATGAAGTAATCAAAAGACAATTTTATATCATCGACAGATGGCAGCCGCAGAGGGAAATGTTGGTATTTTTAATTTTTCAAATTCATAATTTAATTAAATGTTGCTTCAATCAAATGATTTAAATATTTTTATCAGGTTCTTCATGAAACATGGCCATATCGTCCTTGGCAGTTTTGGGGCTCTTTCTGGTTTTGCCTACGTCACCCATTTGAGACGTATGATGTTATTAAGAAACAGATTCCGATTTGCATCGTATGGCCCGGCGATGATCCTGCCATTGCTGATAACATCAACAACGCAGAACCTCTTTGTAACTAGGGATCTGTCATTGGGGATCACTGCTTGTCCAGTGTGCCTGGAGGTCAGATCGACTGCCCTGCAGATGGTTTCTGGTGTTGCACAACCTTTTTTCTTAGCTATCCTCTCGACCACGGTTGCAGCAAAACTATCCGCAAGTTATCCACTACCTCCACTTTCTGACTACAGGACTTTTATTAAGATTTATTCGAGACTTTGCCGGCCTCTTGTGGTTCCAACTGTTTGCCTGGCGGTTATGAACGCCGCTTGTGCAGTTGTAACAACCTTCTCTCAGTTTCATGCAGTTCAGAAAGTCAATCAGAAGCTGATCAGTGAAGATACCTACATACCTTAACAGATCACACACGCGCACGCATACACACATTATTTAGTCAACTAAATCATTTAGGATAACTATCTTTTTACATTTTAATTCAAATTTTTTATTAGTGATAGTATATAACAAACAAACCATTTGTGAGGATTGTTTATTAGATAAAATTTATCACCAAAAAACTCATGTTAATCACATGGGCATATAATATACCGGCATAAAATACACAAACACACATACATACACACATACATACACAAATAAGTACACACATGTGTACACCAGCGTGTAAATTCTCATGCATGCATAGCATACATAAACAAACAATATATACAAAAACGTATGACTAAACGCAATCTTTTTCTTATTTATAGTTATTGAAGAATTTTGATGCAATTTATATGACTATATAAAAAAAAATTTCAAAATAAACCGAAGAAAATGAATAAATTAATGAATATATCCTAAAATGCATTTTATTATTGATAATATTAATAAATAATAAACAATGTACCTAACTAAAAAAACAGTAAGTATTAAAAGGATTATCTTATGGTGTATCACCTTCATCATCATCGTCACAACTAGCGAACCAGCCATAAAATTAATCACCATAAAATAACGATATAACTACGCTAATTATGCAATTAAGATTTCTTAATAATAATAATATTATTATATAATTGTATTATTATTATATAATTATGTTATTATTATTTACATAGAAAGTGTTTCAGTTGTTGGAGAATTTCGAGTTCTATTTCTTCGTTGAAGTTGGGACAGTGCATCTGTAGTAGATCTAGTAGAGAGCGAACGTGCGATAATAAGCACACGCTATGGATCGGATCTTTCTTAATTATCTATGGTCAATATTATTATTATCGGTAGATTATTAATAATAAAAATATTATTTCAGTTCTCTAAACTGAGGGTGTAATAGTTTTTTAGTGTAATGATGGAATGATATAAGTCTTGTATCATTCCATCAATACTTACTTGATGGTGTTTACCCTCCATGATGTCAGTGGATATGTCGTAGTCGTTGTCCTCATCACATCTCACGGACGATAAGGTTTTTTCATCTACAATCAATAAGGTACTGACACGGGTGTATAGTTGCATTTGTGTGTATGCGTGTGTACGTGCGTGTGTGTGTAATCATTATTATCATCATTGCTGCTTTTCGTCATTAAGATCATCGTTGTTGTCGTCATCATCATAAAGAAGTTAATGTTAACGCTACCGTCATAAACAAGAACATTCATATAATTAGGAAATCATCGAAAAGGAAAGAGAGAGAGAGAGAGAAACAAAAAGAGAAAGAGAGAAATAAAAAGTAAAACATAAAACATACTCCACAAATCTGCCGTTCAAATCCTCCTTGCACACGTCGTGCAGTGTATCAACAACTGTACTTAGCACTCTATTTATTTTGCTTAGAACAGATCTGTCAACCGCAATAACAATAACAATTACATCATTTACTATTATTATTATTGTTATTGTTCTTATTATTATTATTATTATCAAAGTTCAACCCAGCTTACCTATTGTATTGTGATTGTAGCAGTGATAGCAGAGCAAGTACGCATATCTTCTTCTTATCTGCCTGATACAAACAGTCGAATTTGTTCAGCAAGCCCTCCACTAATCTGTCTACCAGAGCCATGCTCTAATGAAAGAGAAGGTTCACGATCCGTGGATTGATTGATGGTTAGACGAATGAATGATTGAATGAATGAATGATCGATTAATGGATGGATGGATGAACGAATGAATGAATGATTGATGATAAAATAATGAAAGGACAAAGAAATGAATGAATAATTGAATTTAAAAATAAAGAACGAATGAGGAAACGATTAATTGATAGATAGATGGATAGATAGATAAAGATAGATAGAGATAGATAGATAGACAGACAAATAGACAGACAGACAGAGATATAGACGCAGACTCGGAGAGTGTAGATAGATATAGATGAAGAAATATAGACAGAGAGACAGAAAGATAGACCAAGAGATAAATAGAATCAACACTAAAACAATACCTCTGGACGACCACCTCCACTCAAATGACTGACAAGTTGAAGGAAAGATTGAGAACTGTGGATGAGCAGTCGTGACGTCATAATAACGTGGCTAGTCGTCAGTGGCGGGCATTGGACGCTAGCGACGGCGCCACTAGAGCTGCCACCCGCCTTGGTAGAGAAAATAAAATAAAAATATATTATAGTGATATATATATAATTATTGTATAATTATAATTAAATTATAATTTTATTGTATTTGTTAGTAACATAACCTGTAACTAAGATGATAATTATAGTATTTTTTATAACAAAATCTATAATTATGGTGATAATTATTTATCACTAAAATAACTTATAATTATGACAGTAATTAATTCAAATATTTATAACCGACAATTATAATTATTACGAAAATTATAGTATTTAATGCTAACGCCAGCAATGCCGGTGACGAATTTGAACGAATCACAGAAGACATCTTGGAAGATGTTGCATGTTATGTCAGGGCTCAGTTGTAACATCAACGTTATCAACTAATTGATTGATTGATTGGTTAATTAATTGATTGATTGGTTCAATCAATGATTGAGTTATTTATAGATCAAATGATTGATTGAATGCATATTTGATTTATCGATTAAATGACTAATTAGTAGCTGTCCGAATGATCGATTGAAGGATTAATTAGATAATTGAATAAGTGATTGATTGAATGATTGATTGATTGATTGAATGACGGATGAATGAGTAACTGATTGATTAATTGATTGATTGGCTAAACGACCTTGATTATCATAACTTCTCCTTCGAATTTAACTTCATTAAGCAGAGAATGCAGGCATGATGATAACAATTCGTGATACCTCTGCATATGTATGTGTATGTATGTACGTACGTAAGTATGTATGCGTGTGTGTGTGTGTATGAATGAGTGCGTGCGTGTGTGCGTGTTGAGAAACCTGCAGAAAGACATCAGAATCTATCATAATGTAGGTCTCTGTTATCTTCAATATAATCTTCAATTCTTCCGTTCCTTGGTCTAAGATGAGAAAATAAATGTATAAATGAATGAACTAATCAATCAATTCATCTGCCAACCAACCGACCGACCTGTCAACCAATCATCCAACCAACCAACTTGCCAACCAATCAATCAATCATCCAACCAGTCAACCGACCGACCTAATAGATTAGCCACATTTTCGAACAGAAGCAAGATGTCGTTGGTTAGAACGCTGCAGGATTGCATGACGTGAAGCCAGAGGTGCAGGGCATCCTCACAGAGATAAACGTGCTGAGCTTGCTGAACGTCTGTACTTGTCTTGATCACGGGCAGTAGGAATTGATGCATATTCACTGATTCCGAACCCAATCCCTGCATGTTAATTTATGTTAATGTATGCTAATTTTATGTAGATGTATGCTAATTTTATGTAGATGTATGTTAATTACACGCTGGCGCAGGCTAATCAAATGTTGAAATTTGTTAACTTTATAAAATAAGAATATAATCAAAATAAGAATATTCCAGAACATTTAGAAGCTTCTAGAACATTCTCCTCGCTCACCTGTACGATCATGGAGAGGTTTGTGATGATGGCGCACCTGAGCAGGTTGTGGTGTTCGGATGCGTCCCACAGCAGAGGCAGGTAGTGAATGAGTGAGTGAATGTGTGGATGAATATCAGCCTCCATCCTCTCAATTATCAGGGTCATCACGTGTAATACGGACAGCTGATTGGTGGATGGGTGTTAGATGATAATAATAACCAATCCTAGATTAACTTAATGTATGAAGGTGCTCACTTTTGTTTCGCACTCAGACACGCTCTTGAGAAGATCAAAAAGGAGCTTGAAATGGACCTCCAAGTACTGTAGAGAATAATAATAATAATAATCATCATCACAGTCATCATCATCATCACAGTCATCAGCATCTGCAATAACATACCGGCATGTACTGTTCGACATGGAACTCAACATCATCGACAGGTAGAACCAGCGAAAGGAGAAAATGCATAGGTTAAAGAAAAATTATAACCATAATTATGATAAAATCGTATCTATATAGAGTGTCATCATCACCAGAACACCACTGCCATCTCAACCATCCTTCATCATCATCCTCATCATCATCATCTTCATCATCATCCTCATCATCCTTCAAAGGATATCAGATTTAAGGGCGTTAACAGCTTCCAACTTGACAACAACATCCTCTGACCCACTTAGCAATGATTGGATGACGGCATATAATCGAGGCCTGTGACCGACCGACATTTTCACCCCGACCCATTTTCCAATTAGCCAGATGACGCGACGTTTAATTATTCTGTAACTGGTCAATAAACAAATAAAACGTCGATGGTCATCATTATTAATTATGCATCATCATCATCAGGAGAACTAACTTTCGGCTACTATTACCAGCACTGCCACCGTCGTTACCATCACCGAGGGCTAGCTCGTGGACGAGTCGATTGTTGAACCACTGGTCGAAATCGATGAAATCGTATAAGTGATAAGTGCATAGGCCAACTGCATTGTACACTGCAAATAATTATAATTACAAAAACATTTAATTTAATCCAAACAGAACCAATCATAGCAAAGAGCCAATCATATCAGAGCCAATCACAGCAAAGAGCCAATCACATCAAAGAGCCAATCACACCAAAGAGCCAATCGTAGCAGAGAGCCAATCACAGCAAAGATCTAACCCGCATCTATTTTTAGCAGGCCAATGATATCGTTGGATTGTTGGTGCTGTGAGGAGTCAGAAAGCAAGTACTGATTGACTAACTGCATTATGATTGGACAGACAATGTCCTTGAACTCTTTTGTCAAGGTTAAAAATAGAGATTCCACGCAAGGCTGTTCAAAAATGAAAGTGAAAGAAGATGCAAAAATTCCTGATAAGTGATTACATTATTATTAATAAAATAACTTCTAGTAAAAAGTTAGCATTACAACTAATAAAAATCCATTACTAAAATTCATGTTTTCATAAGTAATAATATATATAATATTTTAAAATAATTTTATTATAATTTATAAAAAAAATAAACTAAAATATCAAACCGACCCTCCATGAAAATTTCCACGAATCACCAGATTCCTCTGAAACTATCAAAACAGAAAAAAATTCAATAGAAAAAAAGGCTGAGAAACAACATCACGAATAATGAGAACATCGAGAGGACAACGAGAGCCAACACCACATCATCAAAGAGACCAATAACGACATTACAACAACCAACTGAAACTTTCTGGATCGCTATCCCAGCAGTGCAACTCGTCATTTTTCAACAAAAAGTACTGCAACAGCAGCATCTCGACTAGTTGTCTCAACATTTCAATGGTGAAAAAGTTGATTTTTACATTCTGAACCATCAGGGAGAGTCTGTTTTTCTGTTGATCTATGAACGTCATCTCAATCATCATCTCCATCATTATAATATCAACATTCTTTTGATCACTACATTTTATTGTTTCAAAAACAAGCTATCAATCAATCAATCAATCGATCAATCAATCAATCAATCGATCGATCAATCAATCCATCCATCAATCGATCAATCAATCAATCAATCAACCAACCAATTAACCAGCCAATCAAATTAAAATACATACACCAGAACATGATAAAAAACCAACATACACATATATACGCTGTTACTACAAATACATTAAAGCACCAAAAAGTGTGTATGTGTGTCTGTGTGCGCGCGTGTACATGTACTTACCTTCGTTAGATGTTCTATAAACTTTGTACTTCTCACATTTAAGAACATCCTTCATGAGGTTCATCATGTTAATCAAGAACCTCTCAAATACGAGTTCTACACAGAAAAAAAATTAATGTACAACACCATTAAACACGTACAATTATTATAAAATAACTACAATATCAAGTCCAATACCATAGTACTACATCCTCAAAGTCTACCATCCTTTATAAATTAATGTCTAGATTAGCATGTACAAATCCATATGAAAATATCTTTGCTTGTTTGTATGTAAAATAAATAACCTTAAATACAAAACTACATACAAATACATAATGCAATATATATATATATATATATATATATATATGCATGTATGTATAATGCTAAAATGCGCACACACAAATGCGTGCATATGGGTATTATACAAAAAGATACAACAATGCATGCCTTCTCTGCCAGGTGTGAAACAGTAGGACACGACAAACTGAAGCGTCGGGCCGACAAATTCTCCAAAACCGTCTGCATGTGTCTCCAAAGTTTCAAGAAGCTGTAAACATCGATGCCATCATCATTGTCACACTCATGATGATGATAATAATAATAATAATAATAATAAGAATAAGAGTAATGATAATAGTAATAATCATCACCCTGAGTACCCACCACTTTAGTAAGTAAGACAATTAATTTTTCCCTGTCAGCCAACAATTCATCCATATTGTACGATAGGATTAGTTGCTCTGAAAGAATTATGTACAAAAAACTAAAAAATTTTGACACAGGCAGACACACACACATATATATATATATACAGAGAGAGAAAGAAATAAAAAAAAGGAGAGAGATGAGATTAATGCTGAACCGAAATGAACAATTAAACAATAATAATTTACTTGATTGTAACATGGAGTCAAGTTTTTGTATTGCCTGTATAAGGAACAGCCTGCACATCTGCACATCCCTAATCTCACTAAACCCATATACTAATAACTTCTTCATGACTGGTAAATTAAAATTAAAACAGTAATCACGATAACAACAATGATACTGGTTATAAAAAAATTCTTACTCTTAGTCAATAGAACACAATAGGATAACAAGAAGGACAAATTAGCCTGTTGTCTGGCCTCCAAAGATATAAATAACTCGTCAAATGACTGCTTCCACTTGTTGAAGATCAACTCAAAAGTACTGTTGGTAAGCTGGGACAAATTAAAAAAATTAAAATTGCACTTAGATTGTCATAATTTTGGTAAAAATAAATAAATGCTACATGAAATAATACATATGCAATAACATTATTACTATATTTTACGTGAAAATTAATCATTATCATGACCTCTTCGAAGACCTTTCGATCGGCAGGCAACTTTTTGGACACCATGGCTTTGACGACCTGATAAAAAGTCAACGTAGCCCTCTGAATCTTGATTGGCTGGTTTGAATCTGTACTCTGCAATGATTGGATGAGAACTGGGACCAATGATGGCCAGAATCTCGGGCAGTCATGCCTAGCTATTTTGCCTATCAGTATTGCAACTTGGGATGCAATCTTGACGAATAGAATTTTATAATTTAAAAAAAAACAATTATGATGACAATTTAAAAAATCATAATTTTTAAAAATTATTTAAATGACCTGTAATATGGGCTCATTAAAGCTTTCAAGCAAATGTTGTTTCAAGTAAGTCTTCTCTTCTTCGGATATTCCACTAAAATTTTGTCAAAGTATAAATTAAACTTGATTAGAAAAACCAATTATCTAGTTAGTTGAAAAATTCATTCAAAGAAACACTAACACATGAACTGAAAAATTATATTCAGTTTTATTTTTTCAGTATCATTATTGTAAGATGAACATACACACACATCAAGTATAGATTATCAAATTAACTGTTTAATGCTACACAATGTAGTTAAACACAATTTTAAATAGAATTTTATATAAATATATATATATATATAATTTATTACAAAAAGTATAGACAAATAAAGATGAAATGTCATTCAAATTAACAGATTAGTTGATTAATTTATTGATTAAAAAGTAAAATTAAAAAAAAATACAAATAGAATTACCTGGGTGCATTTTTTCTCCAGTACCTGTCTATGCCATTCTTGAAATACATGGCAGCAACCCACCTTACGTTGGCATCTATGTTCGTGTCTAAGAATATGGACTGGAACAAAAAAAGTTCAGAGCAAAGATTCAGTTGTTAAAAAAGTGGAATGATGGAATGAATGATCATAAAAAAAGAAAGATGTAGTGTCCAGTACTAACGGCAACGGCGCTATAGAACCCTGGCTGTGTTTCCCACGACTTCAAATGAATTTCCGCCTTTTTCAAAATTGACGGATCCTGACTGGCGGCCCCAACGAATGCTTCGAGAACAAGAGAAGGGCAAAAATATGTGCTGCTGACTTCCATGTTGATCTTATCTTATTTTAATTTCATTTAGAAAAATCGCTAATTAAGATATAATTGCAGTATTATATTTAAAAAATTTATAAATTTTTTTAAAATAAAATCTACGGTTTGTAAAATTTAAAATAAATAATAATGATGAGTAAACTACGAAATTGAGCGATATTTAGGATCTCTTTAAAAAACAAAAAGCATAGAATATGTAACTTATTACACAATATTCAAAGACATTATAAATATAGTTGACGATAACTTTATTATCGTTCATTCATTAGTCTTTGTTTTCACCAGATAGGCGAGGTCCTGTCCATTGTCTGCAAGATGAAGAGACAAAAGTGTTTCTACTTTAATGATGATGACGAGCCAAAAAAGAAAAAATTTAATGCCGATCTAGACTCTTTAATTTTAGATACAAATCCGGATTGCATCGATCACACGAGTTCTCCTAGGTTCAGGTATCCAACGGAGGTGGGGTTCTTCTCGTTAGACTCAGAATCTAATTTTCGGGACGATAACTCATCTCTCACTTACTTGTACGGCAAGCGCCTCAAAAATAAAAAGTTGAATCTCGACCTGAAAGTGGGGTATGATACGTTTGTCGGGAAAAAAGAAAATGACATTCAGGGATTAGGTGACATTTTCAAATGGATCTCGCTGCATCCACCATTCAATACACTAACGAAAAAAGGTGAAAAACTCAAAAGGTATGGTGGTTGCTTAATTTTTTAAATTTTATTGAAGAAAATTTTTCAAAAAATTACATTAATATTAATTATTACATTTGCAACTGATCTAACTAACTAATCTTATAAAAACAGCCTGCAGACAGATTTCATATGTTGGCGGGGCCTGCTAAGGAAATTTCTCTGCACCCCATATGAATTGAATGAGAATTGGTTGATCATAGTTAGGAAATTCAAAGGTACACATTATCTCGTTGAAATAAAAACCGATGAGAAGAAGCAAGAGGAAAGAGAACAGACTACCAGACTGAAAGAAATGTCATATTGGGGTTTCAAGTTTGAACAGTACATGACTACTGGTACTTATTTTTCTTATTATCTAGACATCTTATAAATATTTAAATAATTTTTCAGTTTGATTCAAATCCTTAGAGATGACAGTATCATTGATTAGTGAATGCGCTGTATATTATATAGTCTATCTATACTATATGTATTTTATTTGCATTTTTGTAATTTCATACAGTACATTTAAGACTTCAGAATTGAAATTAACACCTAACTTCCTTTTAGTTTTCACTTTTACTAAATTCATTAAGTCATTCATTCTATAATTCCATTTTAAAATTTTCAATCACAAATTAATTGCAGAAAAGCCGGATGGCAAGCCAGTAACCAACGTACCAGTCAATAACCACAAGCAATTTGTATCTGTGGTTAGATCGAGGATCAACTCACATTCACTAAGTAAATAAATTATTTTTGTTATTCATACTATCTTCATTGTTATTAATATTAATTTTTTTTATATATATTAATTTTTTAACTAATGCTACTCTAGTTTTTGGAGGAGAAATTGATTGCAAAGAAAATAAAGATGACCAGGTGATTAAAAGGTACATAGAATTGAAAACAAGAATGTCCATAAAAAATGAACGACAAGACTATTCATATAGAAGGTGCTGAAATTTTACTTTTAAACTTAATTTCATTATTCCATTACCTCTTTTAGTTATTAACTAACTAGCACCGAAATATTTTTTAGTGTATTAATCAATAATGTAATTTTTTTGATATTTTATTCTCCTTTTATTCAGGTATAAGTTGCTAAAATGGTGGAGTCAGTCGATTTTGATCGGGGTGAAGAAAATAGTGGCTGGGTTTAGAGATGACGATGGAATAGTGAGAGAGGTTACTAAACTGTACACAAAAAATATTCCAGATCAGTGTCAGGTAATTGTAATGTACTTTCATAATTAGAAATAATTTTAATTAGAAATAATATTTATTAAAAATATTTGAATGTAATATATTTACTTAATAGTTAAGTGTATACTGTAAAATTGTTTAAAATATAATTAATTAATAGTTATATATATATAATAAAATTTATATTTACGATAATCTTGTATCTATCCATTACATTTTTGACTATATTGTAAAATTTATAAAATTTCTTATTCATTTATTCTACGTAGATATTGCTTTTTTGGAACTTTAAATGCCAATATTAGTAGTAGATATCATCATTAATATTGATATAATTATTTCCATTACCTCAGAGCATTCGCAACGCATGGAATCCCAAGGTGTGCTTCAATTTTCTAGATAAGCTCTTAGATTTCATCAGAGAAAATGTCACTGATGAAAACAGGTCAGATAAATTTTTATTACTATTTGTTATTATATTACTCTTAAATTAATAAATTATTATAATTTATATTTTTACAAAAAAAAAATATCCATCTTCTAATACAGATCCTACATGTTTGAGTTTGAGCCAGGCAAGAAGATTGTCAAATGTTTCCATCTGCACCAAGATCAGGCTAAAGATGGCAGTGTTACTGCTAGTAATACAATTACTACTACTGCTACTGAAACGTCTACTACTGTTACCGCTACTACTAGTACTGCTGCTGCTACTACAGAAGAATCTGCCAATGTTTCTACAGCTGCTGCTACTTCTGATACTATTGGTAATGACGGTGCTTGTAGTAGTAATAGTAATAATGACAATAATGTTGATGAAAATAGTGATGATAAAATGAATTATGCGAAGATTGAAGTTTTGCCTCAGTGGTATAGAGATTTATTTAGGAAATAAATTGATTGATCCTTTAGTTTATATTATGACTATAAATAATAAGGTATTTAGTTGCTAACATTTACTTCCAAATGTGTAATATTTTTCAAGTAATGTTTATATTTACATTTCTGAAGCTTTCTAATTTTTTGATGGGCTTTGTTGTCTGTGACCATTTTTTGTACTGAATTCTTATTTATTCATATATAAATATATTCACTTTTTATATAACTTCTCTTTAATTCTTTTTTGTATATGAAACCGGTGTATATATATATATATATATATATATATATATATATATATATATATATATATATATATATATATATAATTTATCTAATTCGATGTATTTGACTAGCTTTCTGCGTGTCAATGGTGAAGTTGTTGATGAAAATTACTCAAAAGATTAAGTAAATAGCATCGGTTTCCACCTTTGAATGGCTATGTTGTCTAGTATTAAGTTTGTATGGATCGAGCGATCAAAAAGTAGGAGGAGTGTAGCGCCATACAAATGAAGGTAGTAGGAGTGTAGCGCCATACAAATGAAGGTAAAGAGAAACCTGGGAATTTACCATGTAGTCTGACTTTTTTTTAAATTGGACAAAAAAATGTATTAATAAAAAAGGGACGTTAATTAGTGAAGATGAGTGTGCTGCTAATATTTGAATCGTGTTCACAAAAATTAGAAAATGGCGTCAAAACCACGGTGCAAAACGGTCGTTCTATTATCAAGTTTGATGATGATAATCATTACGATTACAAATCCGAAGAGATCGGATATTATTCGGTTGATTGTGAATCTATATATCGGCCGGATCTATCGTCAGCCAGTTATCTTTTGGCAAATCGCACTGACGGTGGAGTGCATTTTGATTTGAGTTCAGGGTATGAGTCGTTCATTAAAAAGGTGATTCCACCTGTCGAGCAATTGGATAATTTGCTGACATGTCTTGTGCAGAATAATCTTCTTGGGTACAACGAAAATAATAAGCACAGGTCCGAGTGTGGTGTGTTGTATAAGGTTGTTTTGCATTGTATTGTGTTTTTATTGTTTTGTATTGTATTTGTATTGTATTGTAGAGAAAGAACGAGAAAAAGAGATGTTCACATATTTTGTCTTAAAATCACTTAAGTTGGAGAAGTAAATCTTTGTTTTATTTTTATTGAAAAACAGAATTAATAAAGGAGATTTCGTATGCTCGAGAGGATTGATGACAAAACTTCTCTGCACACCTTATGAAAAATCTGAAGACTGGTTGTTTGCTGTTAAAAAATTTAATGGTGTTTGTTACATGGTATCTATTGATACTGAAGCTTCTACAAATGTAACATTTGAAAATACTGAAAAAGGGAGATTAATGTGTTATTGGGGTTTTAAATTTGAGCAGTACCTGACTACAAGTATGACTTAGTCATTAGTGATTAGTGTCATTAATTTTTCATGTTTTACCCTAATAAATGGTAATAAAGTAATTTTTTCAAGTTTTTTTTCTTTAGTAATGGAAAGAATTATTTAAAAAAAAAATCATTGTTCCTTTAATATTAAGATAATTTAATCAAAATATTTGGGATTAACTTTTTAAAAATTATTTGTTATTATAAAAACACAGCTGAAAAGAATGAAGGAAGTTTTTCAAATGTGTTAGAACCAGTTAACACCCACAAATATTTCATGTCAGTTAATATGGCAAAGCTTGGTGATCATACATTATGTTTGTAACTTTCAATTAAATTTAATTTTAATATATTAATTGTCGTTGAAATAGAAGTTCCCATTTTTCTATAAAATTTTCTGTTTTAAACCTTTTAATTCTGTTTTAAACCTTTTAATTCTGTTTTAAACCTTTTAATTTACTTGTCTTTTTTTTTAGTTTTTGGTGGGGAGGTTGATTGCCAAAGAAATATAAATGGCAAAAAGGAATACATTGAACTCAAAACAAATGTTAAACTAGATTCTGATAACCGAATATTTACGTTTAAAAGGTAGATTTTTACTGTTTTCAAATAATCTTATCATGCTAATTTTCAAATCTGAATTTAACTAGAAGGTGGGTGGAGGAATACCGGTTGATCATGTTATGAATGATTGAGATTAAGATTTTATGAATATTTAATTTTTCATTGATGTTTTTCTGAATTTTTTTAAAGATACAAGTTACTAAAATGGTGGGCCCAGAGTTACCTAATTGGCATAAAAAGCATCATTGCCGGTTTCAGGGATGACGATGGAATCGTGGATTATATTAAGGAATTCTCTACATCAGATATACCAAGCCAAAGCATAGTACTGAAAACTATCATTTCGTTGTTATTATTTTATTATTATTTCATTGTTATTTTGTTATCATTGCATAGTTATTTCACTTGATCTAGATTATTTATAAATATAGAATCTATAATTAATAATATTTATTGTACTTTATTGTAATAATAAAAAGATAATATGATCTATTATTAAATATAGGTATGGAGTCCGCGAGTTTGCTTTCACTTTTTAGACGAAATGCTTAGATTTGTTAAGCATAACGTAACTGATGAAAACAGGTTATAATTTATATATAATAATGATTAATTAATTATATTATTATTATTAATAATATTTATTGAATTACCACTATCTTTTTATTTGGAAAACAGCATTTACCAATTTGAATACAGTTCAACGGAAAAGGTTATCAGATGCACCAAGCTAAGATAATACTACTAACACTTTTACTACCACTACTGCTACTAATAGTAATTGTAATAATAGTAATAGTGGTAGTAGTAGTAGTAGTGGTAGTAGTGTCGTTGGTGACGGTGCTAACTTCATCAATGGTTATCAAATACTACCCACCTGGTACACTGAATTGGTGTCGGATCAAAATTAATTTTTTCTATATTTCTTCACTTACTTAAATGATTGGTTAATTAATTGATTAGTTAATTAATTGATGAACTAATTAAATAATTGACTAATTGTTGAACCATTTATTTCGATATTAAAGTCATATAAAGATATTTATTAATTCATTTGGGATGCTCAACCGTGATTTTTATTTCTCGCCTCTGCTTGTTTTTATGCAACTTCTTTCACGATACTTCCATTTTATTTGTTGTTTTATTCTATATATAGTATGTACGTTTATATTATTTTTGCAAAATCTATACAATTTATTTTACGATCAGAGTTAAATGACATTAAATCACTGGGTGTACAACATGTGTGTTTTTGGATTTGTGTGTATGCTACAACGACCACCAATGCTACTACTACTACTACAGCTGCTGCCACTACTACTAGTATTAATACTTCTACTATGTATTTATACTACTACTACTTGAGTAAAGTTGCCAAAATTTTTTGAAAAAATAATACAGGTGTGAGCATGCAACGAAACACTTGTCAGTGAGTAGTTTTTATTTCATCAAAGATTTTAACTTTTTGATTAAATTTGAATGGAAATTGTGACGTCTACTGTTGTTTGGAAACGAAACGAAACCGTAATAATTATGCAATAATATTATAGATATTATTATGGATATATTAATAGTTTTTATGTATGGCAATTATAAATTTAAATATAGATAAAATAATCGAGAATAGATTATCTCTTTTGTTTTGTTACCTGCTTTTTAATTTTTCAATTTTCAAATATTTAAAAAAAATCTTGTCGCTTTGTTTCGTGATTCCATGTATAGTATACACACACGCACACTATTTAGCGTTATCTTCTGTCTAGGAAAGAGTTATTTTATCTGTATCTGTATGCGTATACCTGGCATAAAATTTAGCATCTTAAACTTATACGTGTATACATACATATATATATATGTATATATATATATATGTGTGTTTGTGTGTGTGTGTGGTGTGTGTGTGTTTATAATTCCTTATACATAAAAATGCTTATTCTATAAAAAAAATTGTGTACAACTAAATGATTGATTGACATTTTATATTAATATTTTTAGAGGAAAAGAAGTTATTTTATAAAATTGGCGATGATATGCGTTTTTTTGTTTGTGTGTTTGTTTGTGTGTTTGTTTGCTTGTGTGTGCGTGAGTATGTATGTAATTTTTAAAGATTTTAAATGCGTGCATAATCAACTATTATTTCTTTTCTATGCTGCGTGCTTTTATACAAAGTTCATCGTTTTTGAAACATTTTCTCCAGAGAATAAAAAATTTGTACTTTTTTATCTTTGTATTTTTTCACCTGGATTTTATTATTAATTAATTAATTTTGCTGTCATTTTTCATTTGAAAAGAGTATTCGAAAAGATGAATAGTCGAACCGCATGGGTTAAATTTAAAAATGTCAGTTTGATAATCTTTCTGGTTGAAAATATCGCGTGCGTGTACGTGTATGTATGTGTGTCTGTGTGTGTGTATGTGTGTGGTGTGTATGTGTGTCTGTGTGTGCGTGTGCTCATCTTGACATGGTATAAAAGAAGATGAAAGCGTCAGTTTTTTCAAAAGATTTTAAACACTTCAATTTGCAAAGTTAGATCCATACAATTGTTTAAGGATAAAATTAACATAATGGCTGAGAACAACAACAGCCAGACAAACAACAATAGCCAGACAGACCCCAACGACCAGACAAACAACCAGACTAACAGCCAGACGAGCAAAAAACTGAAGCCATCGAGTCACCATACAACGGCACCACCACCACCAGACGCCGCCCAGTTGTCGATCCTCAACATCATGCACAGCAACAAAGTCAGCAGCAGCAACAACAACAAAAATCAACCATCATCATCGAACTACCTGACCCAATTAACCGGCCAATCACGTGAAGGGGTTGCATTTAGGTCAAAGATACATATGAGGACACAGGCGCCTTCACTTACCATTTCGGAAGCAGAAGCCGTTATGAGAGTTAATAATATAATCACCAAGCAACGAGCCAACAGGTTTGGATGATGATGATAATGATGGTGATGGTGATAATGATGATGATGGTAATAATGATGATGATGGTGGGGGTGATTACATTGATTAAGTTGTTGTCGATGGTGAACTGAAATTGCCTTTCTTGGATATGGTAAAGTGATTATCCGACATCTATCAAATTGGCGATTGTTATCTAATGATGACGACATTGTTTAAGATGATGACGATGACGATAGTTTTGATAATGATGATGATGATGATACAAAACATAATGATGATGATGTTGACGGTGATGGAGATGATGATGATGATGGTGGTCAGAGTTCTGACGATCGTGAAGATGATGACGGTGGTTCTCCTGCCAGTGCTTGCGTTGCTCGTCTTGGTGTGCATCGATCTGAAGGTGAGATGATGATGACGACGACGATGATGATGCGGCTGCTGCTGATGATGATAACGACGACGATGATGTTATTAATAATGATAATAACTATATATACGTACAATACGAAGATGATGACAACAACAACCAAATGTGCGATTTTAAAAGTGTTTAACATTGGATGATGAAAATAAATCATACCAAACGACGACGATGACGTCATAATAAAGCACAAAACAACAACAGCAAAAAACACTTCGACCGAAAATTTACGAAAGGAATCGATAGTTGGCTACAGCGTTGCCTACCAGTGCATCACAAATTTCAACCAACTCAACAGTCTACAAACTTTTGTCTACAACCTTGGTCTGGAGAGAGGCATGAAAGTATGGACCGCCAATTCTAATGACAACATCAGTTTGAGTCGGCTTTCAATAGCTATGGTTGGTAAAATTACTGTTTCGTTATGCAGGTTAGTATTATGTAATGGAGTGTTTATGGTTTTATTCATATTAACCATAGCGTTAATTTTGAGTGGTTTTCATCGAATAAATAAAGTTACGGATAGGTATTTTGCACTTCATTGATGCTGCTACTACTGCTACTGCTACTGCGGTTACTACTTTTACTATTACTAGCGACAACTTTTGCTAACAAAGAACTAACAGATGAAACATAGTGATAACATAATCGATGATAGATAATTATAAGAACAAAACACTACATAGACGAATACAGATGAAGCGTTTTCAGATCTGCCCATTTGGCCGGAAAACTTCAAACTGGCCGATACTCCGCTCAACACTAAGAATCAATTTCAAAAATTTGTCATTAATCTACGTTCCGGTTTTTCGAGCAATTACTCAATTATCGCCGACTTGACTTACGCAACTTTTAAAACGTACACGGAAGTGACGTCATACTTGTTGAGATTCGGTTCCGGTTTCATCAAAGTACCGGCTGTGACGGATTTTTGGAAGCACCCTGTATCCATTAATTTATTAGGACAGGTCTGTTGTGTGATTCATACGCTACTGCTACTGCTGTTATCCCTACTACTGCTGCTACTACTGCAACTGTTCCTGCTACTACTACAGATACCAATAATACTACTACTACTGCTATTACTACTACTACTGCTGCTACTTCTATTGCTATATCTACTAATGCTACTGCTATTACTTCTATTGCTACAACTACTACTACTGCTGCTACAAGAACTACTTAATACTACTACTATTAAATAACTATAGTTGAATAATTGGTCAGGTGGTTGATTCATACGGACAAATGCGTGCCCTGGGTGTCTTGTTCTACGGCCAGTGTAAGCTGACCACCTCAGCCTACAGTAACATGCTATTCGCCGAAGGTTCAGCCGACAACCTCCTGAATCAAGTTAATTACGTCTTTAATTATTATTCGTTTTATTGTTGTTATTATTATTATGGTTATTATTTTTAGTAGTAGTAGCAGTTTAATGTAAGAAATTTCAACAGTACTAATAGTATTATAAGCTTCAGCAGTAGCAATAATAGTATTATTATTTGTAGTAGAACTTTCGATATTATTATTTATTATAATTATTTTATTTCAATTTCTAAAAAAATTTATTTTTTAGGTTTTCAAATTAGACCCGGAAACGGAAATGGGTTACAACCAAGCGATGAACGCCACTGAATATCCGGCTAACTATAAATGGAGACTGGACCATATAAGACATAACTACATGGGAGATCTGGACTGCTTTAATAAGTCATTGTACTAAATTTCTGATTACTATACTAATTCTAATTAGTGCAAATTTTGACCATTTTAATAAGTAACTATGGTATAATAATGACTCTAACTGTTACTGCCTGTTACTACTGTAGAATACTATCGTTGTTACTGCTACTACTAATTGCTACGTGACATGTGTTGTTTTGAGTTACTATACGTGTACATGTATCAATAAACTTGGTTTATAATTCATTTGTTCGTTTGGTTGTTTGTGCATTTGATAATTCATTGATTCATTCATTTTATTCATTCATCCAGGTCGGGAGAGGATAGACTGATCGATATGAATAATTGGTTTCGTAATTTTACCTTCATTATCGATCTGACTACACAGTTGAAAAACAACATGCTCTCTGATTTGCTGACTAATTTAACTAGGTTTTTCATCATCATCGTTACTTTTGTAACCATCATCATTATCAGTATCTTCATGATTATTACAAATAACGATACAATCATTTTACATTTTTACAACAACCAAGAACAAGCCATATTAATAAACCACAATTTGTCATAATTCATCACGTTTCATCATAATTCATCACAATTCATCATCATAGTTACTCAGACGAAATGAGAGCTAAAACAATCGCATACATAATGGCGTTTGTCATAAGCACAGTCGTAGCTCTCTGCCTACTTCTTTGGTTTTCAGCTCGGCTGAATGAACTTTTAGCTAAAGTCGCTAGCTTTGCGGCTGCAGTGCAGAGCAAGTCGCAGGAACTGACGGCTGAAAAACGGCGAGCAAATGCTTTGCTATATCAGATGTTACCAGCTGAGGTTAGCTATGTCTCCTAGAGGTTAAGTTCGATTTTGGGCTAATTTTTGTGGAAGATAACGAAGTTGATGAAGATAATGATAACTGTTTGTATTATTATTATTCATAGGTAGTCAAACAGTTAATGTCAAGCCAGGGAGTTGAGGCCAAGCACTACGATTCAGTGACAATATATTTTAGCGACATCGTCAAATTTACCGAAATTTCATCTCGCAGTACGCCCATGCAGATCGTCAGCATGTTGAATGAGCTGTACAGGTATTATCGTGTTTCTATTGTCTATCTTTATTTTTGTTTTGTGTATTCTTGCATCTATACTTTGTGCTTTGTTTGAATTTTTGAGATTTTTGCCTATTTCTGCTTGTATTTTGCTTGTATATTATTTGTATTATTGATGAATTTTGTATTCTTGTTTGTATTTTTTGTGTGTAATAACATAACGAATACCATGATATCCTCACCGCCATCGTCATCACATCACAATCATCATCATTATCACGTCACGATTGTCGTCATCCTCACGTCGTCACCGGCCTCACCAAAAGCGGTTTTGACGAGCGCATAGAATGCTATGAAGTTTACAAAGTTGAGACGATTGGCGACGCATACATGGTGGCCTCAGGGGTGCCAAAGGTCAGAACCTTTTTAATAAAAATTACTTACAATATTATTCGTTTAAGTAGTAGCTGTAGCATTTGTGTAGTAAAAATAGTTGTTATGTAGTACAAATTGTAGTAGTAGCAGCGGCAGTAATAGCAGTACCATACTAGTAGTTGTAGTAATAGTAACATAAATAATAATAACACTTTTTATAATACAGATAATAAAAGACCACGCCAGGCAGATGGCTGAGTTGTCGTTATGTCTTTTGAGATTTTCTGATTTATTCAAAATCAGTCATCTGCCTGGTGAGGAGTTACTGTTGAGAATCGGACTGCATAGTGGTTAGTAATGCTAATTAACGTAACAATGCCACTGTGTAATATATTTAAAATACTAACAAACGCCAAACAGTGTTAAGACTTGGGTAGTAATTAGTACTAGTAATTTTTTTACTATTCTCCGTCCGCATGTTAGGATCGGCCGTGGCCGGTGTAGTTGGCCTGAAAATGCCAAGGTACTGTTTGTTCGGCGATACCGTTAATACAGCAAGTAGGATGGAATCCCATGGCGAAGGTTTAGTTTAGTAATATTACTGCTCTTTAAATTATTACTTCTAACAGTACTAATTATTTTATTTAAAATTATAATAATTATTACAACTATTATTATTATTCCAGTTAATTATCAGAGAATTCTTAGAACAATTAACAACCGTAGTAATAATAATAATAATAATAATAATAATGACTTTTAATTATATTAATATGACAGCTAAAAAGATTCATATAAGCCCGACGACCAGAGAATTATTAAGGAGACATCCACAGTTTTCAATCGTCCCCAGAGAGAAAATGTTCATCAAGGTGACGTAAACGATGACGTAGATTTATTATTATTATTGTTGTTGTTGTCGTCATTAACAGTAGTATCAGTACTATCATTAGATTGATAATAGCGACGACAACGATGATGATGAAAAAGAAAATTATCATCATCGGTGTTACTACTATACTTACTACTGCTGCTACTACTACAGAAACTATCGCTTCTACTACTATTATAGTCATTATTATTATTATTATATTGATGACGACGATCGTGATGACGTCACAATATTTGATAATTATATTTATTAAAAAATTTTTCCACAAGGGTAAAGGCGAAATGCAGACCTACTGGCTAGAAGGTTACAACAGATGAATAACTATGACGATGACGTCATCTTATTAAAGATAATTACGCCATTATTTACTTACTTACTTACATATTTTATTCTTCGGATTTTGTGTGATTTGTTTGCGTGGGAAAGTTGTCAAACAACTCCTAATTTGATCTTTGAAGTATCGGACTCAGTCGGAATCAGCAGAATTACTTGAAAATATCTATACCATCCTATCATTTGAAGACATCAACAGTAACAGACATAAAAGCAAATCCTTTAAAAAGTGTATTGTCTGTTCTTCGAACGTTTCATTTGCTAAGCTTTGCTATTCAAATACGTGTCTTCTGGCTTACAAATTCGTTTTGAAACCCTCCGTGTTTTAGCACCTACTAATGGCGAAACGACGACAGGACTGCTATACTAGCTAATAGTGAATAGAAGTTTAAGATTTCTTATGTTTCATTTATTAGAACAGAACTCGTAGATATTTAACTGTTTAAAATTTATTTGCATAATTACAAATTTAAACGACAAAATAAAAACAAACAGACAAACGAAGAGGTATAGAGAGATAGGCAGACAGACAGACAGATATACAAACAACCAAACAAACCGCATAATACATTAGAGATACATAACATAACATCACCATCACAAAAAAAAATCCCAACTCAGCTACCACAAAATTTCTCAAAATTTTTTCCACCGGCTCGAACATTGGCATCATTATCGACACCACCACCATTGGTGACGTCATAATGATCGTCGTCGTCGTAATCATAGCCGTGACCGTCGTAAGCTAGAAGTTGGAAGACGTCATCGTTCTCGTAAGTTCTCTTCAGGAATTGGTCGGTGATATGAAGGCCTGATACGCTCTGTGTGGGTGGAAATGAATGAATGAGTGAATAAATGAACGAATGAATGAATGTTTGTTTGATTGTTTATTTGTTTGTTAGATAAATGGATAAAAGATATATAAATCAATTCATGATAAATGCATGATTGATGAATAAATGAATGGATTGGATGAACTAAAAATATAAATAAGACAAGACAGGCGAGCAGACAGACTGATCAACGAATAAAATAACAATTTATTAAAAAATAACTTGACATGAAAATGAAAAATAGATAGAAAAAAAATTCCTAAAAACGAACTTACAATCAGGCCAGTGATGAGTATCATAATTTCAAGGTCAAGGACAGTACTCGCCCCGATTTCGAGCCTTCCTATTGGCTGGCCGCTGAGACCACACCAAGCATAACCTTGCCTGTGATTGCTGTGTAATGATACTACTAGATCCATTGGTCGTTCACTGGTGAAGATATATGATACAGATATATACACATAAACACACACATACAAACAAACACACATATAGCCAAACCAAATAACTTACCAGCAATTAGTAATAGAAACGGCCACAGAATAAATGACCCCTACCATGACCTCTGCAGGTGACCTTATGACTTTGACCTTAAGGTCACCTGTACCTGGGGCAACTCTTTGCAATTGGCTGGTCTGTAATCTACCCCGTTCACCCATGTTTGATTTCCAAACAATGTCAAGTTTTCCAATGTTGAAAAGTCCTGATGGTTATATATATATATATGTATGTATGTATTTAATTACTACTGCTGCTGCTACTATTGTCAATCAATCAATCAATCAATCAATCAATCAATCTTCGTTTAACGTCCAGAGACCCAGTTTCCCAAGGTAGGACTATTGTCACTACTACTATTATAAACCATACTATTATTACTACTACTACTGCTGCTACCACCACATAACATTTAATATTTTAACAACACTAAGAGTAGAAAGCAAATAAAACTGTGACCAAACTATCATTTTAAAAATCATTTAACTAAAAAATCTAGAAAAAAAACTCCCAGAAAAACCTTTAGCCAGCAAGGGGTGAACCCCAGATGGCTGAGAAGATAAGGAGGAAGAAGATGGTGGTAGAGATAAGTTAGAGTCAACAGTGTTGTTGTTGTTGTTGGATGTCGTTGTTGCTGGTTGTCTTTGCATGGTTAGCTTGTAGAGATACTGCCTTGTATCCTGGCTGTTGATGAAGACGACAGGGTCGAAGATGGTCTGGTTAGAACTCTTGCTGGCCGGTGTTGAAAAAAAAATCATATAAAATATTTTTAAAAAAAGTATGATTGGGCAAGTCTGAAAAAGAACCAACCAAACAAGATTTTTAAAAAACCTTTCAAAAGCAACAAAGAAATAAAACACTAAACTTTATCATCTGAAAATCCAGAAAAAGAAAGAGAGAGAGAGAGAAGAAAGAGAGTGAGATAGAGAAGGGAGGAGAAAGGATAGATAAATATAGTAAAAAAGGGAGTTACATACACAAAGATATACATACCCAGTCACGGTATGCACATCATTGAGTGATTCAACTTTGTATGGGCTGGAAGGTTCCAAAGACACCCTTTCAAGAAACATTGGGTTAGGTGTTATATTCTGCAGTTGGGCCTCCAAGAAAATTTCATCGGACTTTAGAATTTTTGGAATTCACATTTTGAATAGATTAATTATTACTATTTTATTATTTGTTTTTATCGTGTTGAATATTATTTATAAGTTGGAATGGATGGATGGATGAAATAAAATTTTAAAAAAAAACATTTAAAAGAATCTGCACCTCAACCGAGTAAAATTTTGTTTTCACATCTAGGGGTTTCAAAACCTGGTAGGAAAAATAATCAGAAAAATAATAACGAAATAAAAATATAATTTATTTATAATAATTATAATATATTAATAATAGAATAATAATGTAATATATTTATAATAATTGCAATAAAATAATAATAATGAAAATAATAAATGTAAAGGCAGACACTAACATGGAATTTGAAGAATTTTCTAAAGTGCATCTTTTCAACATGAGGTGTGTTGTAGTTCACTGCACAAACAAGTCTGTGGATTTAATTCATTCATTCAATCATTCATTCATTCACTCAGACAGTTTTTATTCTTTCATTCATTAATCTACTCAACCAATCAATAAATCTATGTATCCTTAAATAATTTCTATTCATCTATCTATATTAACACATTCATTCATCCATCTGTCAGTCTATCCACTAACATATGTGTACCCAGTTCCTTGACTTCATGTTGAATGATCTCGTCGATGCTGGAACCGGGCTGAAGTTCTGACCTCGTTTGACCGGGGACATTCAACACAAGTCGTTGCGAACTTGTTTGCAACTCAGCCTAGAAAGGTAGTGGAGGTAATTAAGCAATAACAATAAGTAATAAAAATTAAAATATAGTTAATTAAAGTGAATAAATATATTAAGTATATAGTGTTTGAAGTCTATAAATTTCTGAGGGAATAATTAATTAAATGAATAGAAACCTTGATTTGAACGTCTGTGCATATCTGATCACTTTCATTATTTACACTAATGTAGCTGGTGAATGTCTCACCTAAAAATATATTTCTGTAGAAAGAAAATTTGTTAAACAAATTTATGAGTGTTTCATCAGTAAAAATTATTATTTTTTATAAATATTTTAAATTAATAAAATTTTTAAAAATTTAACCCAAAATTTTGTGGCAAAATGATGCATCTACCCAGGGAGATGTTGTTGAAGTTTGGGAGAACATCTGTCTCCAATTTAGCGTTTATCTCGAAGGAGTTGTTGGGCATATCTCTGGGGTCGCATTGAAGGAGGGAAGATGAGGAAGAACTCAGAGTTGGTTTGGTCAGTCGCATGACTAACAAAAATAGAAAAAAAAGTAAAAAAATTTAAATGAAAAAGAAAAGTTGTTGGTTATTTATTTATTATTTATTAGAATTTATATTTTCTATTAATAACAATTTTAAAATAAAATTTTGAATAATTTGTTGAGAACCTTTTAAAGCCAGCAACTGATCAGAATCTTTTTTAGTCTCCATTTTTTATTTTCTAATTGAAAATACTCGCAGTTTAACAACTCTTCTATTTTTTTTATCAAACGAAGGAGTTAACGCAAAATATAAATTAAAAGTGAACTTCACTTTGTTTACAAAATTCTTTGAACGTTGCCATCTGGCAGAAAATAATTTTCAACAATTATCCAAAATAAAACACGACGGGATTCAACCTTCATAAATAGAATATATTTTATATACATGACAACCTTTAAAAAGCTAGCAAATAGTATCAAAAACGCTAGGAAACACTATTTATTTAGACAAATTGACAAAAAAATAATTATAAAATATGAATAAGTTAAATTTGAAATTAAAAATTCATCTGTGGACCCAGCTTTCTTCGACAACAATAGCTACCATCTTTTCATATTCCCTCCTGTTACTTTGGTATAGTTGGGCGGCGGTATTGTTTGCCGGACTGTTGGGATTTGGTTCGTCGAGAAGTGACTGCAAATTAGTGAAAAAATTATAATTCAATCACTTATCTGAATTAAGAAAAGTAATTGAAATGATTCTCAATATCATCCAGCAAAATTATCATACATCACTTACTTAATATAGCATTCAATTTTTTAAATAACAAAATAATAGATAATGTTTGACAATGAAAAAAGTTATAAAATGAGGCTTACTTGAATGGAAGTTAAAATGGCCGCAACGTCATATGTTGGACTCCATCTATTTTGCAAGAGATCCAGGCAAATGCTGCCATCTGCATACACTTGGTATAAAAATAATTTATAACTAATATAATTAATTAAAATTGTAATTTTAGGGTTTTTAAATTATATTTATATTGTAAATTAAAAAGTAATATGATACCATTGGGATGGAACATCTTTGAAATGAATTGAACGGTTGGTGGTTTATTGGGGTAGTCTTCTGTGAAGGAAATCGTCAGTCTGAATGTTCCATCTTCAAATGGAGTGTCATGGGGACTGAATTTTATACAAATGAAAAATAGTCAACATTTAATTTTTATAATTTGTAATATATTTGAAAAATACTTAAACGACAGCATTTTTATTTAAAAAAAAATAATTATTTAAATTTTAATTATTTATATAATAAAAGCATAAAATATAATATAATGAATTATGATTCAAATGAGCTTTACAGTTGAAATAAATCTTGAATGTTGCATCACCAAAATGGCAAAAAAATCATTATTAATTTCAAATTACAAAAAACAAATTAGTCACTTTACCACTGATTCCAATTTATTAGTTAAAAAATGAGTTATTAATTTTACTCAACCCAAAGATGACAGCATGCCATTTCATAATATTGTTATCAGTGGGGGCTCCACTAACGCCGGCCGGAGGATCTTCTTGCAGCCTAAGAAAAAAAATGGGAGAATTTTACATAGAAGGAATTTTATCAGGAAAGGACAGAGAGATTAGAAAAACGTTTCAAAAGTTGGCTAAAAATTTACTTTTTAAAATCTCTCATCAATCTGCGTCTGGCCGGCGTGGACATGTTCTCCTAGATTTCTTACGAAATTTTTATTGAACAATTCACGAATATAGCCATTTAAAATTTAAACGCCAAACAAAAAAGTGAACTTAATTGAAAACACAAAGAAATATTTTCATACGTTAACTAAACGATGCATAGATGTGTAATGTGTATTTCAACATCTGTCAAATCGTGCTTGTAATAAACTCATACTGTAGATTTTTATGCAAATATATACAGTCATGAAATAATAAGATAAAATCTAATTAAAGACACTGACACAAATTCAATTTCAAATGTTTATTTGAAAGTTTAGACGAAACTTTTACTCAAAATTATTTGCTTCTGCACATAAAGGCTGTTCCTAAACATAATAAACATTTAGTCGACTGTTTGATTCCTCAGAAATATATTGTCAATTTTGAAATTTGACATTTTAAAAAAATATCTTCTACTGACTCATATCTGCATATATTTTCTTGATTCTTATCTTAATTCTCTACCTGATAACTTGTATTTTTAACCATAGTAGTGAATCATTCTACGTGCCTATCTTAGATAATATCATTTCAAAATGTGAAAATTCTGTAAAGGCTCCTAACGACAACTTTTTTAAACATTTTTTCAGTTACATTGAATCGAAATATGGAAGTACAAACATCTAAATCACTAAACAACTCTATTCTCTCGATACATGAAAGGACTGAGAACGTGTAAGTGAATAAAGCCTTTAAAATGGCAATCAAAAAAGCATTTAAGCTCTCAGAAATCGATACATTTACTTGTAAGAAAGCGTATAGATATCGAACCTCGATAGCTTCTTATCGTCATCTGCTTTACTCTCGAATTTGAATTTCAAATTCCAAGAAATGACAATGATTACACCAATGACATATGTATATATATATATATGTATGTGCTTATATGTATGCATGTGTATTTGTGTGTGTACGTATGTGTACGTGTGCATGTGTGTTTCCACATATTCTCTATCATCCGTTTATATTAATGAAACACTGAAATATAGAAAACCAAGAAACTAGTCTTAATTTAACGGATTAAGATGGCACCAGACACATTTCTTAACTTTTTACGGTCCCTAATATAGCGCGTAATGTTTAGAACAGTATTTATTGAATGTATTTAAAATAAGTTTTCAGTACAATTTTCACTTAAATGTACCTAAAAGCGCCGTTTATATAGTAAACATAAATATAGAAAATACCTTATTTTCTATGTAATTATAATATAATTTAATGATAAATATTTACTATAATAATAATTATTATGTAAATGTTAGGAGCCAGTCAACATCATCATTATCGTCGTCGTCGTAATCATCAACAAAACAACATCATTATCATTAATATCATCTTCCTCATCATCATCATTATCAACAACAGCAACATCATCATCATCATCGATACCAACATCAATGTCAAATAATTGGTATATTGTAGTGTTGTGATAATCAATAATTCAAAATAGTTAAATTTCACCTGCTCTATCCAAGAGATGATGATAATGATGGTGATGATGACAATGATGATGATGACAATGATGATGATGACAATGATGATGATGACAATGATAATGGTGATGAAGATGATAACGATGGTGAATTTTTTTTCAATTTCTTATCGTTCAACCCTCGTAATGATCTTTACATTTGCCATGGTTCGTCATCATTAACATCATCATCATCATCGTCGTCGTAATCAACGCCATCGTCATCATCATTATCATCACCATCATCAACGCCATCGTCACCATCATCATCATCGTCGTCGTCATCGTCATCAGCAGCAATTGCAGACAGCAAAATATTCAAATAACTTCCTCGAACTAACGACTCTTTCCTTTTCTCTCACTCTCTCTCTCTCTCTCTCTCTCTCTCTCTCTCTATATATATATATATATATATATATATATGTATATATATACATATATATGTCGTATATGTATATACATCTCTCTCTCTTTCTCCTTCTCTCTCTTTCTCTCTACATATGTATATACATATACAAATCTCCGGGTGTGTGTGTGCATGTGAGTGTCTGTTTGTGTCTGTGCATTTCTGTGTACCCAAGAGTGTACCCTGTGTATTTGTCCAAGAGTTGCCGAACACGTAGACACCTGTATTTCAATCATCTGAATTCTCTTCTCTGATTAGCTGTCGCTGATCACGCCCATTCCCTAACAATACAAGTTTAAAAGGTGTCGGATTTGGTGAGTTTTTTGTTACATAGATAAAAAATGCTTTTGCCGGGCGAAAATAAAGTTTTCTTTTTAATTTCTTGGGTGTATTGTACATGCATAGACATTAAATTAACTCATCTATGAACCTTTTTGATTTAATTATTTTATCAAAATAATAAAAGATTAGAGTTATTTAGTTTGTTTTTTGCAACAAATTTTGTGAAAAATTTCAAAAGTAAAAAGGTTAGTTATTCTAAAGGTGTGTATGTGTGTGTGTGTGAACGCGTAATAATTACAAATAATAATTAAAAACATTTATTATTTTATTATATTTATACCTTGTTGCCGGTTATTATTATCGATATAATAATTAATATATAAATATAAAATCATTGACGGTAATTTTAATAGAGTTAAAGTCGTCGTTGCTGTTACTATGCTGATGGTGACGTCATTTTGTTATAATTTGTTGTTGCGGTTGTGGTTGTAATAATAATAATAATAATTATAATTATTATTATTTATTAGGATTTTGTTGTTATAAGGTAACTAAGTACATCATGCCTCCTTCACGAATCTCATTTGAATTTTAAATTTTCCTGACAGCAGTTTTTCTCTTCATTCTCTAACTTTTTTCTTATTTTGCTTCATAATAATAATAATAATAACAATAATAAACATAATAACTATTTTATTATTTTTCGTCATAATTATTACAATTTTTTCTCTAAAGTTTGCTTTCATTCATCAGACACCTGAAGAATTTTGTGAAGACTCGAAAGATGAGAGAAAATATCGAAGGAAAGTTTTTAGTGAATGAATGAATAAATGAATGAATAAATAAACGAATGAATGAATAAATAAACGAATGAATGAATGAACGAATAAATAAATGAATGAACGAGCGAACGAATGAACAAATGACTGAACATGGCCAAACGAATACTCAAGTGAATGAATGAATGAATGAATGAATGAATGAATGAATGAATGAATGAATGAATGAATGAATTAAAGAAGAAACTAAAAGAAAAATGATTTCATAATTATTTTAATAATTTTATTATTATAAAATAATTTTTATTTCAAAACATTGCTATTAGATTTGGCTGTCTGTTATATGTACAAAAGATACCGCCATTCAATCTTGCATATAATATACGGTCAAATCTTGGGCACTCCAACGACTAATATATAAATAATAATTATATTAAATTATATTATATTATATTATATTAAAACTAACAAGTAGTCATTTCATTTTTGATGAAAAGTATGGAATGTTAGTTCGTTTTTTTAAGGAAGATAGATAATAAAACACAGAAAGGAAGAGAGAGAGAGAGAGAGAGAGAGAGAGAGAGAGAGAGAGAGAGAGAGAACGAGAGAGAGAGAGAGAGAGAGAGAGAGAGAGAGAACGAGAAAAAGAATGAAAGAAAGAAAGAAAGAAAGAAAGAGAGAGAGAGAGAGAGAGAGAGAGAGAAAGAACAATAATCTTAATCATAATACATATCCTTACACTCATCCAATCACGAAATATCAAAATACACGGGAGGAATCCCATTAGAGTCCACGACACATTCGCAACCGCCAAAAATTATGATCATAATCAAATCGCAATCATAATAAATTATAATTATGAATAACGGCGATCATGATGATGATATTTAGACCAGCCTGTCTCTATGCTGCATTTGAGAGACTCGGTTTAACGTCGAACTAATCTCAAATATTCCGTCTCTTTCATGCGGCATTGAACCAAACTGGAACCCCTCGTCCAAACAAATTATGATCATAATTTTTTCCAGTTATAATAATAATTATTACTATGGTTATAATTTTTTTAAATCGCACCGATAATTATAGTTATTATTATTGTTGTTATAATTCTTGTTGCTGGCTGTGGTACTGTGAAAGGTCGTGCTTTAACGACATTCATTTCGTCATGACGTCACTAGTCTTACTATGACGTCATGGTCTTACTTAACTCTATTTTTGAGTGTTTTTTCGTTAACCTCTTTCAATCGTTCTTTTATTCACCTTCACTTTCGTTCTCTTTCTCTTTCTTTTTGTCAATTTGTTTGCTTGTTTGTTTCCTACTCTCTCTCTCTCCATTTTTCTCTTTCTCTCTTTTTTCTCCTCTTTCTCTCTCTCTTTCTTCTCCTCTCTCTAAAATTTTATACATATATCGATTGAAATCCAAGCCGAATGAGCAAAATATTCAAATAAAGTTACACTCAAACATCTGCCTGCGAGTACATTTTGGCAGTGATGATGATGACGATGATGATCCTGAAAATGACGATGGTGACGAAGATGACGACGATGAAGACAATGATGATAAAGAAGACGATGATGACGACGACTATGAAGAAGATGGTGATGACGACGACGATGATGATGTCACAACAGGAAAATAAAATACCAATAATAACGAGCTATTATATAAAAATAATTAATATAATTAATAATGGACTGCTTTCATATTCAAGACATTTACACAAATTATCAATCTAATCATCTTTACTGTGTACAACATAATTATCGTCATCATCATTTCTTTTCCTTCATCATCACCATCCCCAATTTTATCCTACCCATCAACATCATCATCGTCACAATCATCATCACCATCACCTCCATCTTCACTTCTATCTTCATCAACATCATCATCCTTATAACCATCATCATCATCGTCGTCGTCATCGTCAGTAAAAGCGGATGTAACAGCGAAAACTTAAGGACGGTTTATTCGTCACAATCATCACGTTAATATTAATAATAGTAACCTATCCTTTCTTTCATTTTTACTTTGACATTCACTCATTTATTCATTCATTCGTTCGTTCGTTCGTTCGTTCGTTCATTCGTTCGTTCGTTCATTCATTCATTCATTCATTCATTCATTCATTCATTCATTCATTCATTCATTCATTCATTCATTCATTCATTCATTCATTCATTCATTTACCCACACACACACACGTACAAACTATCAAATAGCCATTTTATTTATGCAGGTTTACATACGACATTATGCATGCATGCACGCACACACGCACACACACAACATTCCTAAACAGAAGCTACAACTAACAATATAATTGTAGTTGATTGATGAGTAAGCTGTTAAAAGTAGCAGGAGTAATGATAATAATAATAATAATAATAATAATAATAAAAATAATAATAATAATAATAATAACATCACCAACACACATCAACGATAATATAATATAACGACAACAACAATAATTAATACTACCTGTAAAGTTGCTTAAACTGTTCAAAGCTCTCAATAGGCAATTACATGCTAACATATATACAATATAACATATATATGAACCCTATATACCCTACACGCACATGTATATGTCCTTTATACAATAGGGTTTAGGACAAATACATATATATTTTGTAAGAATACACATACACACACAAACAGACAAACACAATTATATATTATATATATACACACATATATATATATATATATACACATGTGTGTGTATATATATATATAATTGTGTTTGTCTGTCGGTGTGTGTGTGTGTGTGTGCGTGCGTGCAGGTGCGTGTTGTTATGATGGGACTTTTTATCACAATGTAAGCAGCGCGCATATGAATAAACATGGTTATCTTATATATGTGTTTATTGCCTTATATATATATATATATATATATATATATATATATATATATATATATATATATATATATGATGTGTGTGTGTTTATTCTGAATTAAATATTATTTTATTCATCTGATCGAAAATAAAACTAATTAAATAAATAAATATATATATATATATATAAATAGGTAAATAAATTAATGAGTATGTATTAATAATTGTAGTTTTATTATTAAACTTTCAACAATAGATCAAAATATCGAGTTATAATTTAATATATATATATATATATATATATATATATATATATATATATTATATACACACGGATATTATACAAACATATATAGTTTAATATTACCATTATTATTATTTATTATTATTAGTATATTTAATAATTATTTATTATTTATTAAATAAATAATTTTGTTATTGCGCAACTACGTTATTATGGCTGATGATTTATGAAGCACCATTACCACTAGACTGAAAGGTATAAAGTTCGCTTTTTTTGAGATTTTTTATTAAAATTGGAATATTTTTAATAGTAAAAATGAAAAAAAAACTCAAACTACCTTTGATCGTAACGTTCATTACGTGGTAAAACAATTTTTAAATTGTGATATTTCATATTTGATGATGTTGTTATATAAAAATTTTTCTGAAAAGTTAAATTTGTTTCTCAAAGAGTTTATCGTCAACCAAAATGGGATGTCATAACATCAACGCTAACAACAACAACTGCTACAACACTAGCAACAACAACAACAGCCGAAACATGTGCAACAGCAAAAGCGACTACAACGCTAGTATTAAAAACACTGCAAAATCCTCACCTGAAAAATTAACTTCATCATCGTCACAAAACTCAGTATTGTCGTCCAAACTATCGCTACTTCTGCCGCTACTACTGCAGCTACTCTTACTACTACTAAATCTACCATGCGCTTCTTCTTGCATAGTGTCCACAATTTGCATTTGCGAATACATGTCTGGTATAACTATGAAGATTAGTTGCCACGGGAGAAACTTACGGACGATGCCAGATTTAACTCTGACAGGTGAAAGTATCATCGGTGAAATATCACTCCAACAAAATTTTCTTACCGAAGTGCCGGCGAATTCTTTCAAGGAAACAGGAACGAGAAAAATAGATCTGAGTGATAATCCGTTGAGGAATATAAAGCCAAATGCATTCGCTGGGTTGGATGGATCGTTGGTTGAACTTGTTTTGGGGAAAAAAGATGAACAGTTTGATCTGGATTTCGGGGGGTTGTTCATTGAAAATTTAACGAATTTAGAGACACTTACTTTGAATTATTTCAAAAGAACGAATCTACAAAGTGGCATTTTTAGAAATTTGAACAAATTAAAATACCTGTCAATCACTTATGGAAAGTTGCAGAGCATAGATGCTTCTTCGTTCGAAGGATTGAACAACTGTTTGGAACAACTTGATCTGACGTGGAATGATCTAGAAGCAGTTCCTAGCGCAACACTCAAACCTTTAAAAAATTTGAAAATATTAAATTTGAATTACAACAAAATTCATTACATACAGAAAAGTGCTTTCGAAAACAACAGAAAACTTAAAGAGCTTCACCTGAGCTATCTTGGCCAGCTATCCTTTGAGACAGGAGTGTTTACTCGTGTTGAAGATAGCTTAGAGTTATTAACCCTTAACAAAAACACATTAACATACAACAGTTTTACTATTATAAAGGAACTTGAAAATTTATTAAGTTTAGAAATTACTTCGAATTCACTGAGAACTATAAACAATTTATTAGACGGCTCTTTAGCTAAGTTGACTACTTTAAAAGCGGACGATAACAACATTGAACGTCTGAAAGATGAGATAGGAAACAAACTGACATCCAGCACCTTAAAATATTTGAGTTTAAACAAAAATCCATCTTTGGTCATTGAGAAAGACAGTTTCACAGATCTGCCGAGCTTGCAAACGTTATCTCTGAAGAACATCAAAGATATTGAGCTAACCGAAGATACATTTTCAAGTCAAGTTACATCATTAATAAAACTAGAGTTGAGTGGAATTAAGTTTGAAGAATCCTACTGGACTGCTTTCCATAATTTGAAATCTCTCGAAGAATTGTTCCTCACATCGTCCAAGATCGATCGAATACCAGATTTTGCATTCAGAGGCACTCCTAGCGTAAAATTATTGTACCTGGATGAGAACAACATCCGAAACGTTACTCAACGTACCTTCACAGGTTTGGAAAATTCTCTTGTAGAACTTTCAATGCCATTCAATAAAATAACAAGTATTGAAGAGTGTGTGTTCCGCGAGTTTAAATCATTAAACGTGTTGAAGTTGAGAATCGAGAATAATTCGCTCTACTGCAACTGCGATTTTTTGTGGCTCTATGAAAAGATAAAATACTTTCTAAATGACGAAAGAGAGGAAATGAAAAGAAGAAATTACAACAAAAATGCATCGATTGCAAGGTATCTGACATGGCACTGCGCAAACCTGGGCATCAATTTTGTTGCCTTGGAAGACCGACATTTTTCAAACTGTTCAAATTTGCCACCTGTCTTGTGTGAAAATTTCTTCAACAAAACATCCTCTACAGAGTCGCCTGATCTTCTTATTGATATTTCCATCGAGCAGATAACATCTAAAAGTTTGCTGGTCAAGTGGCTGTCAAATATTTCGCCGAATATAATCGGTTATCGATTGAAATGTCGGTATAGTGACGACGACGCATCACCTGATGTATTGAATGTACAACTACCGTCAGATACTAGTGAGTATTTAGTAGAACCGCTCAACTCCAACACTGCATATAAAATATCTTTAACACCCTTGTTACCAAATGGTAATGATGATTCTACAAAAACGGTCGAAAAATCTATAACAACATTAACATGGGAAGAAATGCACAAAGCAGAGATAATCGGGGCATCGGTTGGTGGAGTATTAGCAATTTTATTACTAATATTCGTGATATTTTGCGTCTGTCTAGCAAAACAAAACCGACTGAATCGACCGAAAGTTGAGGTTACCGATCACTCAAGGCGGTACGTCAAATCGATTGACTACTCGACATCAACGGCCAGACGGCAACCCGCTCCAACAGAAATGCGCGAATCTCGACAGGTTTTAGAGGAAAAAATCGACTCCGATCCGGCAGACGTGATAAAATCAACCCTCCAATCGATGACCGACGAGGAAAAATTCAAACTGGCCAGTCTACTGACAAGTAGTCGAAACAGTCTCGACGCTCTCGACGATAACCGTACATCCGTGTACGATAAAGAAAGACGGAAGAGGGAGTACGGTCGATTCGTCAGCTCCGGCAAGCACATCTACGAAGAAATACCGAACGCCGAAGTCTACGATGAGATTAATGAAGATAAAATTGTGTGATGTCTACTTTTAAAAATTTCGTTTAAACGTTTTTCATCTATTTAAAACTTATCAAGTTTTAATGATTGAAGCATTTAACTGCAGTACAGGTTCTGCAGTGTACATATATAACATGTTTTCGCATAGAGCTTAGATACCTAAGTTAATATAAAGTAATTTGAAATTCAAATGCCTACGTACCTCTTGCGTGTAAATACATCTATGACAGCATTCACACACTGAGTATCTACATTATTTTAATAAAAAAATATCAATAAAAACGAATATTTATTCAATATTGTTGGTAAAAATAAATAGAAAACAAAAATAAACTCGTCGTTACGGTGAAACCACATAACGTTAACTCAACTCAATACTGCCAATTCATATAATTATATTGAATATAATTTTGTATTGAATTGTATTGAATATAAGAATGTAATATTGCCAATTCAATACTAGAGCAATATTGCCAGGTATTAATTACATAAAGTATCGTTGAAACACTAACTCTATAATTATATACTAAAAGTTTTATTTGCACGTAAAGGAAGCGCCAGCAAAAGCTCAAACACACACCACACACACACACACACACACACACACACACACACACACACACACACACACACACACACGCAGCCAAACATAAATAAGAATATATACATATACATTGAAAGTAATTTATTTATTCATCTGTACATTGTTTATGCTTGAATAACAACCTGTTTAATACATTATGAAGAAAGTTTAAAGGTGAATATAGTACATCATCATAATCATCAATATCATCATACTCCTCGCTATCATGAATACCACTCTAAATTATCATCATGATTATGATTATTATCTCTTCAATAATTGTAATAATTTATGATAATGATGTTGGGTGGGTTGCATATAAGAATGTTTATAAAATAAAATGAAATATATAAATAAGTTGATCTAGCAAGAAAAAATTGATTGACAATTAAAAAGACAATTAAAACAGTCAAAAAAAAAATTAAAAATAAATTTAACCATTCAGAATATAAATCTCCTTATGAATAAAAAATACTTTTATTGATAATATAAAAGAAATATAAAACAAAACGTTTTAAAAAACTCATGCAGAAGAATTAAACTTTAATTTTGTTATTTGTCAGCACTCTGATCCTGTAACTCCTCTTTCTTACTATTCACTCTACCCATCAAACTGCTGATCAAATTTTCCTGGTCATCCAACACTTTGATCTCCAGAACGGGTCTCAATTTTTTTTGCCTGGCAATGTCCATCTTTATTTTGTACTTCGAGTAGATGGTGAAAGCGAGGCAGACACCGACCATCAACAAGGTTATCCCGGCAGCGATAGAAGCTTTGATCAGACTGTCGAAGTATCTTTTGCGTTCTTCACTCAATTCATTTCTTCTGAGGATCTCCAACTCGTGGGGACTGATGGTCGACATGACAGGCCAGTGTGGGTCATCCTCTCTATCTACAGTGCATGCGTATTCAAAGTTTTGTAGTTTGTCGCCTAACTTGTTTCTAATATTTTTACAGGCTTCCATGAAGGGTGCAAGGCAACTTGTGGCATAACTGTAGAGCCAGCAGACCTGAATAACGTCTATTTCACCCAAATTTCGTAAAATTTCCGTTCCGTCGTTTAGGTATGGTTCGAACTTTATCAGACAGTTTTCTACCAGACTCCACGAGCAGTGAGTGTTTGACGAGATTCTCGAAAAACAATTAAAAATTATAAAAACTTCAATAAAAATTTTAAAACCCATTTCGACTAAAAAAATCGACTGCCACGGTGTTTGTTTACGTATCGAATAAATTAACCCAGGTGTCCGTTTACTTTTAACCGTTAATTAAAGTTAGTTTGATATTAACACTTCGACCAAAAATTAAAAATCTTTCATAGCATACGGCATACTCGACTGCACTATCGCACTTTCAGAAACCACTTTTGATAAACGAACTATAGACAAACCACTGAAACCCTATAACACAGTAAGTAATTTATTAATAATTAGTAACACAATATTCAAACAAAGCAAAATAAACTTGAAGAATCATTTCAAATTTAGCTGAATTAACTTTTGTTGTGCTTCAAGTTGCTTTCTCGTCAAATCAGCTATTTGCCTTTGTATGTCAAGCCTGGACCCTTTACTAGCAGTACTACTTAAATAATTACTCACATTACTATTAAGATAATTATTCATATTACTATTCAAATAATTATTCATATTACTATTTATAGCATTAACAGTGGAAGTATTTTTAGACGTAGTAAGGTCGTTTTCAGCAGCAGTATTTGATGTCGTTAATTCACTATTATTATTATTTCGGTTAATATTATTTAAACTATTAATTATGTTATTTTTATTACTATTACTATTAATAGTAGTAGTAGAAAGAACTGTAGAGAAATTATTTGATAGCAGATCAGTCTTTAATAAGAAAGGACTCTCCATTTGAATGGGTGGCTTGAGTAAAATGGCTGTAGCACAACCGGTACTGCTACTGCTGCCCCCAGCCACAACTGAAAACAATTACAATAAAATATAATTATATTATTTTATAAATACTAACTATAATTAATTATCACATGATGTATAATTATTAATCGTTAATATTATTCTCTATTTTTGAGAAATATTAACCATGAAATCTTAATTGAAAGCCTAATTAAGACCAACAAAACTAGGACAAAACATCCAATATGAATGTAAGAGACAGAAAGGATAATAAAAAAAAACCTGATGGCGACGATGACGTCATCGTCGTGGTCGTTGTAATTAGTGATTGTGGTAATGAGAGAAATGATAAGGATGATGATAAGAATGATGACAACGACGGTGATGATGACGCAACATTATGTGGTGGTGATGATGATGATGATAAGGATTTTGATAATGAGACACTTGTTGTTGTTGTTGGCGCTGTTGTAGTGGCTGTTGATGATGACGTCATAGATGATTTTGCTGCAACTGACGATGATGACAGTGGAGATGTGTCCTTGGCATCTTTTGTACGTACTTCTCTCTAAAAATATGAACGCAAATTAAATCATTTATAATTAAAATTACATTAAAATAATAAACACAGGAACCAAATGGAAGAGTTTAATTATTTATTCGTCTGAAAAACAGAAGTAATAATTTAAATTCACTTTTAATGAATCCCATTTTGCATCATTCTCTCTTTTATACCTCAAAAACTCGCGACTCAGGGTTTCATATTTATCATTAAATGACATCAGCATCTGGATAAATTTAAAAGTTAAATTGAAGCCAATCAATCATCTCATCAACCAATCAATCAATCATCTTATCAACTAATCAATCATCTAACTAATCATCCAACTAATCAACCAACCGACCTGACAAGACATGGATAAGCATTCGGTTAAACTGGCAATTTTTTTTTCCAATTTTTTCCTATGCCTGACCTCACTTTGAAAGGATTCCGACATCACAGTGAATGAATTACGAAGATCAGAGAATGAATTATTATCATTATTACTATTATTGACATTATTATTACTATTATTGACATTATTATTACTATTATTGCCACCAGTACTGATATTATTATTATTTAAATAACTATAGATCATATCCTTCTTATCCATCCCTTTGTTATCATCATCATCCTGATAAGGTAGATGATGATGATAGCGATGTAGTTGCTGCTGCAGCTGCTGCTGCGTGGTGTTGCTGCTGTGGTGAAAAAGATGATGCTGATGAGTATCATTACTGGGGAGATGATGGTGACGACGATCAGGTACATCTTTATTAAGTGGAATGACATTTGCGTCTTTCGCTCTTTTTAGCTCGTCCGCAAGCTGCACTTGAAACTTTTTCAACTGCTCCAACTTTTTCTCATCTAGCCCTATGAGAAAAAGATTTAAGGAGAGAGTTGAAAAGTTATTTGTTCAACAAAGCATTTAATAACAGTACAATCCTCTGAGGAATGTCAATAGTGTGTATAACAATTTAAGAGAGATTAATGTGCAATTTAAATATTATTATTACTATATTATATATATACTATATATATATATATATATATATATATATATATATATATATATATATATATACATACATATAATATATATTATTACATAACTGAATTACAATCACTGCTATCATCATCATCATCACCATATAATCATTGTTATAATCATCATCTTCATCATAAGCCTCATTATCATTATTACCACCATCATCATCATAATCATAATGAACATAACTATCACCATTATCATCAACATAATCATCAGCTGGTCATCATAATCATCATCGTCATCATCACTGCCTTTCATAGTTGGCTTGGTCACAATGGGCTCAACATGGAAGTAAGGCTTGATGGATTTCTTGAAACACTTTCCACTAACTCTACTACTTCCATCAACATCACTATCATCATAATTGTAGTCACCATCCTCATCATTATCATCATTACCAAATCTTCTTGTTAAGGATTTCGATGATCTCAGTGAAGCGGTTGTCGATCTTTGTACTAAAAATGTTTTAATTAGTAATTAAATTAATGGATTTTTTTAAATTAAATTTAATATAAATTGTAATAATAGATATTGATCAAATATTTAAATGATTTTTATGTAAAATTATGACAATTCCTAATGAGTTAAATTGATAAATTACTTCTAGCTAGTTTCTTTTGTAATTGCATTTCCTTCCAAACATGAGAATTAGATGATTGATGAGATAACTTCCTTTGTGCCTAAAATTAGGGTTTATTTTAAATAAGAACTAGTTTGTTGTTATTAAAAACCAAAAATATACAAACTTATAATTTTCAAAATAAGTGAATTAATTACGTTTTCAATTTCATTCTATTATTATTTTACTACATAATTTAAGTTTTACACACTTACTAATTGCTCTTTGCTTGGCCTGTACACTGATAAATCACTAACTGTGTCCTTTTTTTTATAATAGAAAATAAATTAAATATTTTAAAAATTGAGTTAAAATAAAAAATATTTTTGTCTCATTTACAATTAAAACTAAATTCCACTTTGACTTAACAGTTAGTTAAAGTTAAGTTAAGTTTTAAATGGTAAGTCTTGATGTGACCACTTAATACACTAACATCCCAGTCTGGTTTTCTTGATTTGCGTACTTTTGTGGAATGAAATGGTTTCGGACACGATTGACTTCTACGATGTTTAAAATTAGGCATCATAAAAAAATAAATTTGGTCCGTCTTAGGCAATTAAACGCTAAAATAATTGATTTATTTGCCACCTAATTTCAAACTTTTACTCACTAATATCGCTCGATAAAACCAGAGATAATAAAACTTGGTTTTCATAGAAACAACCAAAGAACTCTAACTCAATTTGTTGAATGCAACAAGCTTGAGCAAGGCTCACTAGATTTATACGATTTCCACATTTTTCGAGGTTAATTACCAAGTTGAATTTTTTGTTACTTAGTAAATGTTAATTTTTTTAATAACCAGTTTGTATCTTCACTACAGTACATAATAATCGAAGATATAATACACATTTTTGTGATATATTAATTACATACACACGTATACATGATATTAAATTTTATTCATCGAGGCAGTATAGTCCGGGCTGGTATAGTGAACATATGTTGCGGAATTTGACATATGAATTTTTGCGGATAAAGTTTAAAAATTTTAATTATTTGACCTTTATTGTGATGCTTTTCTGGTCCGAAGTTCAGAGAGATGAGTCAAATTTTCCTGCTGTGGAACGTTTTTTTTAGAACTGTTTGCTAAATATCTACAAAACATGCAATTTTCTCCACAAAATCATACATTCAATTCCATATATACATCTATATTCTTCATTGTATATGATCTATAATATAGTAATGAAATATAGAATCTATATTTCACTTCACGGATGTTTAAAGTAACAAAAGTTAGAACCACCATCCTTTTTTAAAGGTAAAAGTTAACCTACGTTATTAAAGGTTGAATAAATTTGAATTTAATTAATCAATTTTTAATTAATTATGGAAACCTGCCTCAAATTGCGATAACGGCATACAAAATAAAGAACGCAAAGATTTTGACTACTTTAATTTAATTGAATGTTCTTTAGGAAATATTGCTTTCTTGTTAAAAATGTCCTCATCTGGTGATGGTATTGGAGAATTTGAAATTATTTTCACAAATGAGTCAACCAGCAAAGATGACGGCTACCTAATTGGACTGATCCAGGCCAAATTCTGCAGAAGTCTTCGAAATGCAAGTTAGTAATATCATTAGGCATGCAAATTCAAAAGTTTTTTTTTTCAATTTTTCATGAATTCCATTTCTCAATCTTAATTATTAAATAAACGTAAACCAAATTAAATTTCAACTTTTTATTTTAAAATAGAGATAGTCAGTCAAAAAAATGCTCATTTGTAATAATTACATTTAAATTTAAAAATTTACATACAATTTTTTCTAGAATTATTTTTCCAGACAGAAGCAATTGTTCATTATAACCTCAACAAACCAGATAGAAAGGTCATATTACTAACCAAAAATAGCCCTGATGACTGCCAAAAGCACCTGTCATTCACCCAGACCAAATTAGTGAAAAATATAGACATAGAGGCCAATGAAACTCAAACATATAAATTCTGTATCAACTTTCTTCCTGACCAACTACCAACATTTATTAGCAAGTATGGTACCATATTATATAAAGCATCAGTTCTACTAAACTTGGGTCCAGTTTGTGAAAATGGAAATAAAGTTAATGATAAGAAAAATGGCAATAGCAATAATGATGATCTCACATTGGCCAGTGTAATTGCATCTGCATATTATAAAGTGCCATCAAAGTTGAATTTGAATGTCTTGCCTGAAGCAGCTGTTAGTTTTACCTTTTTCCTTTATTTTGTTTAATTTTTCATTGTTTAAAAATTGTTATAATTTCAAATGACAATAATTATATAATCATTGTCTTACTTATTTTTTCATTTCTTACTTACAGACAAGAATTAGCATCACAAAGCATATTCCTCTTGGTAAGGGTTAAATGACTTGTACTGTGACATTGTTACTTATTATTTGTTATTTTTTATCCTTTTTTATCCTTTTTTATTTTTTTTCTTATTATTCTTATTCTGCTTATAAATCAGGAAACTGTTTGTCAGAGAAAAGTTTAAAAGTTAACTGGTTCATAAATAAATCAGGATTCACTATCGGTGACAGCATAGATATCAAAACGACAATCACAACAACTATAGAAAACTGTAAATATGAACTTAACAATGCTGTTTTGTACCAAGTCAGTGATATGGTGGAACACATTATTATTAGTAGTAGTATTATTATCATTAACATAATTTATAATCTCACATCATTAACATAATTTATAATCTCACATCATTAACATAATTTATAATGTCAAGGTCATAGTGTACAATCCAGGCCCCACGAAACAATACCAAAGAACCGAGTTAACTCGAGGAATTGTGATGAGTAAAGTTAAGAAGAATGAAGATTTGATAATCAATGAGAACATGTACATCCCTGATGATGTTGAATGCTCAACTTCTAGATGTGTAAAATGTTGGATTGATATATACTATGAGATTGAGGTTAAGGAATTTTTGTAGTATTTTTAATTTCAGGTTGGCTTTTTATGGCTTTTATTTATTATTACTACAATTACTCCTGTCATCATAAATGTCACAGACAATAATGAATAATAATTATTAATATAATCATTTGTTAATAATTAATGATAATAATTATTGATATAATTATTTGTATCATTTTGATTATTTTTCAACAGTTTTCTATAACCTTAGCATCATTGAAAAAGACAATAGTAGAGAAAGCCGAAATATACATCGGCTCAAATCCACTTAATTTTGAGGATCTCTTACGATATGCATCACTAACATACAACATACCAATGAAACCGCTCTCGTCATCGTCATCGTCCTCGTTTCTTACCCCATTGGGGAACTTTTTCACACCATCTGCACCACCGCCGCCACCGTATTCCAGAGAAGATTTATCACTGACGTCACCCCCGTCATCAGCTGATATCTGCCTGATTAGTAATCCTGAGATGATTTCTCCTAAATCTAAAATAATTTGAGGGTGGGATGATGGTTTTGGATGCAAAACTTCTTATGACAGCAGACTTAATTGGTCTGACTTTTTTAGTTTCTCAATGTTTTGTTATTGTAAAAAGGAGAGAGAGAACGAAAGAAGAGAGAACGAAAGAAGAGAGAATGGATGGCCAGTACTCTTGAGTTAACTAAGAAGCAGTTAGTAATATGAGGTAAAAATAGACAATGTAATGACTTAAAAAGATTGATGAATGATTGATTAAACGAATAAATGGCTGGATGAATAATGAATAAGTGAACGAATGAATAAATAAATCCTTTTCCGTTTTTTGATCTCTATTCATGTACATTAATGTAGTGTTTGTTATATTAGTAATTAGTTGCATTCATGCATCTTTATCCAGCTGTTGAGTTTATACAAATTTAACTTAAATTCGATTTTGTTTTAATAACTGTAAATGTTGAGTAATTGTTTTTTTTGTTAAAATTTGTTGAATCTCGATTTTTTGTTTACCAATTGTTATTAAATCATTTTTAAATTGTATTTTAATTGTTTTAATTTGGATTACTGTGAAGTTTTACGTGTCTATCATAATTTGTTAATTGCTATTATATGCTAACTTGTATGTTCTACACGCAGTTACATCTTGATTTTATTAACTAACAATGCATTTATTAAGCTGCATTTATATTTTATTTTCTCTCATATTTATTTGATTGTTTTTGGACTTGCATATTATTAATACACTTTAATTTTATTAAAAATGTATTTTAATGGTTCTATTTGTTTGAATTGTTTGAAAAATCAATTGATTTCATGTAAAGTAACATTTACGAGGTGTATCATTTGAAAACATGAAGAATATAAAAGGTCTCACATATGTAGAAAGCACTCTGATATAGGTATTTGTATTAAATTTAGAATAAAAATGAAATATAGTTAAATAAAATAGTAAGTTGTGTTTGTGTATAAATGAAATAAAAGTTAAATTAAGCTGATTAATTTCCCACATTTTACCGACAGTAGAAATAAACAGCTGGCCCGAACGAACCAACGAACAACGGTTGCCAATCCCGATATTATAATTTTCTACGTTCGTCCATTGATTCGCGTTGTCTTCGCCTCGAAATTGTCTTCGTAGTTTGTTATTTTCTTCGGAAATATAAAATGTTAGTGTAACTTTTTGTCTACTTTCTAGTATTATTTAACTTCTTTCAATGTTTTGCTTCGTTCACTGAACTGCCAACTACGCAATTTATTTTTTATTTGCGGGACAAAGCGCCTATCGGTCATTTCATGCCATGAGACATAAGTCATATCCATCTTTTTTTAAATTGGAGATATTATATTTTATTATTCCGTTAATAATTTTACAAAATATAAACCTATTTTCAAATATTTTAACAGATGTCAGGAAGAGGAAAAGGTGGCAAAGTGAAGGGGAAGGCGAAAAGTCGTTCAAGTCGCGCCGGACTTCAGTTCCCCGTCGGTCGAATTCATCGTCTGCTACGTAAAGGCAACTACGCGGAGAGAGTTGGAGCAGGAGCTCCTGTTTACTTGGCCGCTGTCATGGAGTACCTGGCTGCTGAAGTACTCGAATTGGCTGGCAATGCTGCCAGAGACAACAAAAAAACAAGAATTATTCCACGTCACCTACAATTAGCAATTCGTAACGATGAAGAATTGAACAAGCTGTTATCAGGGGTTACCATTGCCCAGGGAGGTGTGCTGCCAAACATACAGGCTGTCCTTTTGCCCAAGAAGACCGCAAAAGTAGGAAGCACCCCAAGCTCCAGTGCCCCAAAATAAATTGATGTTGTCATTTTAAAATTTTAATGTTATCTGTGACTGAAAATATTAACATTCATTCATTTGTGTTGGTTTATATCTGTAAATGTTTTCAATGAATAGTCATGTAGGAATTTTAAAGATAAAAATAATGACTTCACTGACTATATGACAATCTTATTTAATTTTCCAATTTTAAATGTAAAGCTTAGAGTTAAATTATTTGACTAATTAGTTGATGTGTGATCATTTGGATATTTTAGAGAATTTTATGAGCATTGTGGTCTTTAGTTTATTTGTTTGCTAAGATTTGATGATGATGATGTAATATATTTTCTTGTAAAGATATCTCAACTACATAAAAACAGTTTTCAACTTTCTGTGTTTATAGTAATAAATGGAGTTTAAATTTTTTTATTTGCTTTATAAAATACAATACAAATAAGTTTATCAGAAAAGTATCTAAAACAAATTTAAGCAAATGTAGCTTTGACACCGACAGTATTTGCTAAATTGTGAGCAATTTCCTCATTAGGACCATTAAATTGTGAATAAATTTCGTCAAAACGTCTTCTATCTCTTTCGAGAATGGAAGGTTGTGTCTTGTTGAGAGCTGTCTTCAAGTGCACATACTTAACTTTTATGACTGAATCATCAAAGGCGCCTTCACCATTGTTGTTTCCTTCCTCATGATGACAATGATGATGAACAACTTCGAGCAAGGCGTTGTAGAGCAATCCTTTTAAATCAGCACCGGTGAAATTTTCAGTGCTATCAGCCAGATTCTTCAAATCAACATCAGCATCTAGAACAACATTCTTTGTGAGGGCTTCAAGAATCATCAACCTTTCAGCAGCATCGGGTAGAGGAAAATAAAGCAACTTATCCAACCTGCCTGGCCTCAAAAGTGCAGGATCTATAAGATCAGGCCTGTTAGTAGCCGCAAGTACGTACACCCCCTCCAACTCTTCAACTCCATCCAATTCCGCCAATAACTGATTGACAACTCGATCTGTGACTCCAGTACTATCCCTACCCCTTCTGGGAGCGAGAGAATCTAATTCATCAAAAAATATTACACATGGGCTGGCATTTTTGGCCTTTTTGAATGTATCTCTAACAGCTTTTTCGCTGGCACCTATAAATTTGTTCAGCAGTTCAGGGCCTTTCACAGAAATGATGTTTAATTTGCATTCACTAGCTACAGCTGAAGCAAGAAGGGTCTTGCCAGTACCCTGCGGTCCGTAGAGCAGGACACCGGTTCTTAATGGCAGTGGATAATTTTTGAATAATTTCGAGTAAGTAGTTGGCCATAATATTGATTCTGTAAGGGATTTTTTTATTCGCTGTAAGCCGCCAACGTCACTCCAAGATATGACTGGAGGTTCAAATAATTGTGTAAATCTTAAATGTAGAGGCTTGTACGTTGAGATGGTCTTGTATACATCTTCATCTGTGAGTGTGAGGTCTGTGCCGTTGCTACTCTCAATAAGTTTGCTGTGAATCATCTGTTTGACTATGGATTCAATATCAAACAGAACATATCCATCTAATTTAGCCGTATTCAAATTATCTGAGATCCTATCTGTAATAGATATACCGGACATCGATCTAATTAGAGCGTTAATTTGGTATTGTATAAAAGTTAAAACTCCGCTATTTGCATTGGAATCAATTTTCATCTCCAAAAATTCATCAAAAATATGATTAACCGTGAATGATTCATGCAGGCTATCAAGAGAATCAACGGTAGATATGGTGATAACCAGCCCTCCTCCATGCAATAAGCTTGATAAAAAGTGTCCTATAAGTTTCGATACTTTAGCATGATATCTATCAACATCCGATTGGTCTGTATCATGATTTATGTTATGCTTTGCAATACTGTCTAAATCGTCTAGAAAAAAAACTGATGGTTGATGATATATTAACCGATTAAAAATCTTTGTTAATTTCTGTTTCAAATTACTTAAAGGTTTATTAGAGAACTCTTTACAATTGATATATTCGACGTGATATGATGAGATCTGTGATTCGAACTTGTCTCTTAAGAGCTTGCAAAATGTAGTTTTACCAGAACCTCTTGGTCCATGTATTAAAACATTTCCTGGTTTTAAATGCTTGTATGAGTTGCTATTTTTAACATGAAAGTCTTCAAGGAATTCAACGTAGTTGTTAAGATTCGTAAGCATTTCATTTAAAAAGTTAGCATTGATGTTATTGACGTTGATGTCATTTTGATCAATTTTGTCGCTATCTTGGTTGAGTTTGAATGGCAAATCCAGGAAATCCAATTTAAAATTGAATTTAATACTTTCTAAATCAACTTCGTTTAAGTAGAAAAAACTGTGTCTCTGTTCTGAAGATGATAAATTTTTGGAGTTTTGAACCGATGATGGTATGGATAGATCTCTGAATGACAAACACAGCACTTGCATATCATTTTCCTTTAGAAAACATTCAACTAGACTGACTTCATTCAGTAGTATTGGTTCATCTTTCAACGTTAGCAACGATTTGAAGTAACTAACGACAGATTCTCTCAACAATTCAGTATTAAAACCAGTCTTAGCATCGCTTCTTATAGGATAGGCAAATAATTCTTTAACATCTTCCATATGATGAGTAGTTGATTGACTGAGACTTTCTAAGTAAATCTGATCATTTATTTGCAAGTTTGATAAATATCTAAGATGTTTTGGAATGAAGATAAAATTATGAAATGGTTTTTTAATATACTGCTTATAGTCATCTTCACTCAATAAAATGACCGTAACTACAACTTTTTCTACAAAGTTTGGTTCACTAATTTTAGTTTCAACACTAATTGGCCGATCTGCTGCCGATTTAGAGATGTTACTGGATTGCTGTTTTTGATTACCGTCGTTTGGAAATGACATTTTAACAAGGAGAGATGAAAATGTTTTAGGATACACATCTCTTTTGATAAATTTGTCAAAATATTTTCTAGACATGTATACGCAGAAAGGATGGGTGTGATATTTTTGAGAGACTGAACAGCCATCCTTGCTTAATAAATTTTCACGGTTTAATTCGTTATTATCAACATCTTTATCAAATTTTTTACTAACTAAGCTTTCAAACATTACACAGTTTTTCTTAGCAAAATCATTATTTACATTCAAAAATCTCTCCAGAGATAGAACCCTACATTTTATTTTCTTATTGAATTTCAAACAACTACTTTGAAAATGTAATGGCTTAGTAGTTGCAGAATTAGATGTCGTTGAAGTTTTGGAATCAGTCGTGAAAAATGAAGGAATGAAATATTTAAGACCTTTTGTTTTAATATAGCTGAATGATGTCTGTATGAAACCATAGCCTGATTTGTTAGAACCATCAACTCTATCACCCCCATCATCATCATCGTTATCACCGTTATTACATTTTGTTGACAGTGAATCATGTTTAACAAGATCAACTGATGATGATGGTGATGATGATGACGTAGATGGTGTAATTGTTGATGATGATTTCAACAGAGACGACGGAGAAGATGACAATGAAGATGGCGTTCTTGTAGTTCTTAGTGACTTGCCCTCATTATTTGGTACTGCAGTTCTTAGATTCTCACCTCTTACAAATGGACTGACAATCACCTCTGTATGCCCAACTAGGCAGGCAAATTCAAAACATGGCTCTATCTTCACTGTTCAAAATAAATTACAGCCATTAAACTATTGATACACATACATGCCTGCAATAATAGTTCATTATAAATTATAAAATCACATAGTAATTACGTTTTAAATCTGGTGTTAATTTAAAAATATTAAAAATATAAAAAAATAATTAAAACATTTTGAAATAATTAAAAAATTGTAAAAAAAGAAACTTGCCTACTTTGATGAAGAGACATACAGAACCCTGGACCCAGATGGGTAGTATCTGATCCCTGGCAACAATCCTTACCTGATTCAAGATGTTTTCTTCAAGAAGACTCGAGTTAAGACTCTTAGAGCATAAAATTAAAAAATGATTATAAAATAAAAATTTATTACTTAAAACTATAACAAAAATTTTACATTTTTGAAAGAGATTTTAAATTTAAACTATGAAAATTAAAACTAAAAAATTAATGTACAAACAATAATTTCCCAATCATTAGCAGAAACTGGCTCAACATGGACACACGAACATGAAGGCACTGCATTTAAAACTGTTACAACAACCTTTAGAAAGTGTTTTAAAGATTTAATTGAAACACATATAATATCTACCAAATAAACAGTACATTAAAATTCTTATTTATTTATTATTCATTTTATATGATAAATTTATCAAAATAGACCTCTTGATTGTTAGTGAATCCATGCTTAACCGCAAACAAACCATTGACCTCCAAACTGTTGTCGTAATGATTTTTAGCAGAATTGAAATTGACAGATGAGATCAAACATCCTGTTGAAGACTCCAATTTGATGGCAGATATCTTAAAATTTTATAAATTTCATTCCAAATTTTTTATTAATTTTAAATTCATATTCATACAGATTCATTCATTCATTCATACAGATTCAATCTTAACTGTGAAATCATTCTATTTAACTCACCATATGATTTAATATTTATATACGTCATTTAAAAATATTTAAAAATAAATTCAATCAATTATTATATTGATATTCAAATCCCAAAACTTGCAGCATTTCCATTGCATTTGACAGGTAAATTGAGAGATTTTGGAATATGGACGAAGCAATTTTTTCCAGAATTAAATTTTATATTAGAACAAAGCGACATTTTATAACAAAAAAAAATAACAAAATTATTTTAACGATAAACGGATACAGGTTAAAATAGAGGGAGCAAAATCGGAGTTTGGTCGGAATCGAAAGTCAGGATTGTTCACTTTTAAATTTTAAAAGTTAACTTTACCTTAAGATTGAGTTTTACAGAGCGAAATTTATAAAATAAAATAAACTACACCTGCCTCACCCAAAACTACTTAACCCACAAAATAACTCCGTGAACAAGCACGTAGCGAAATTTGATGTAATATTCAAACAGTAAATCGAGAAATAAATAAACCAAAATAACTTTAACAATTCAACATTAGCAAGGCAAATAATATTTGTCATAATAACCAAACTTACTAGCAAAAAATGAAAAATAACAGATTATTTTCAGATATTTCAACAAAAAAACAAACCATAAAAATAGCGAAAAATATAAATAACAATGAAAAACCATGTGAAGGATGATAAAAAATGATACAATGTTGGAAGAAGGCATGCATTGATAGCTTAATTGATATACATATCAATTAGATTTTGCCGAAAATGTGTGAAATAATGCAATATGCGACTTAGTGCATTCAGTTTGCATTGTTCCTACAAACATAAAAATAAATAAATTAAAGCTGACATCACATAATATAAAACAATTTGATATTTAACAATCTAATCTATCTACAAATTTCAAAAACAATAGTAATGCAATGAACAAACAATTATCAAAAAACCAATAAATTACAAATGAATCACTCTAACATAACACAATAATGTCCCCACCAATTTGCTTATTTGACACTAATCTAATAATCAGTGACACTCTCCCCATCATCAAGGAGATTTTGATAGCTTTCTTCATCGACTAGAACAAACCTATTGTAATCTCTGCAGAACATGTAGAAGTCCCCAGTGTAAATATCAATCCAGAGTGCATGCATGCGTACCAGGCCTGACTCTAACTTGTCACGTAAAAATGGATAGCTGGCAATGTTCTGCAGTTGCTGTAAAGTGTTAACCTGTTAAAATATCAACAAAAAAAACGTTAGTAAAAGTGGTTTGGTACAATTTTCACAAAGGAAATCTCTTATGAATTACTAATTTATTAATTGTCTAATTAAAATACTAACTTGTGAAAGTTTATCAACTGGCTTGAATTTATTATCAACATCTATGTAAGCATCAAAAACTTTTTCTGGTGTCTCCGCTTGAAATTTTATTGGGCCAACACCTCCAACTTGCAACAATTCCTTGTGGAGTGAATATTTCTCATTAGCTATTTAGTTACTTTTACACATTTTTGTTTAAAATTTTTGTTGATTTTAAAATCATATTATTTAAGATAAACGATAGGTTTATTGATGTACCTTATATTTAACAATAGTTCTAGCTCCATGTCTCTTCAGCCAAATCTGCAGAGGTGTTCCTTCATGCTTCTGAACACTGTCCATCATCTCATACAGAGCATTCATTGCCTGGTGAATAGTTTTAACATATATTTTATTTGAAACTTTTGCATTTTAAATGTCTGAGAAATTAAGGAATATTGAGGTCTCTAATATAACATTATCGAAACAGGTGTCTAGATAATTTGTACTTTTGAAAAGAGAACAATGAAAACCTTGCAATCAGAATGGCCACAGACCAAAACATGTCTAATCTTATTGATGACACATCCTAATTCCAGTGCAGCAGGTTCTGTAGTTACTGAATCAAAGCTTAAGGAATCATTGTTTGGGATGAGGTTGCCTGCATTTCTCACTAAAAACATGTCCCCAACGTCCTGATTGATCATTTTAGTGATGATCAGCCGACTGTCCATGCAGGAAAACATCACTGACGAAGGCTGTTTGTAATAGAATTTGCAAATAAATTTACAAACCTACTCTGAACATAAATTTTATTTTAGTTCACACTTTCACAGAAAGTTGAATTAATTTTATTTAGCAAATTTTGAAATTAAAATACGTTTTGACATCCCAAATAAACATCAAAACACGTAAAAAAACTAAAAAATCCTTCAAACTTGGGGATTGTCCTTAACTCTCTGAAACTGTTTGAGGACATGGGGCTGAAGATTGGTTCGGTACTTCAAAATTCCTCTCAAAAGTTTATTTAAACCGGGCATTTTGTAATATCTAAATGTTAATTACATTAAAAATCAATTAAATAATGAGTAATAAAAATTATTTGCGATTAGATCGCGTTTTTAATGGATATTTCGGCGTAAAATATAAAACTTCTAACAATGACATCACCAACACGAACCTAGATTTCACCTTAACATTGACACTAGCTAAGTTCAAAGGTATGAACTTTTGGCTAAAAAAATATTATGGATGACCCATAGAATATTAAAATTATTATTTATAAAATTACATTTAAGGAAAAATGATGACTAATTTTCCAATTAATGAAGTTAAATTTAATGAAATTGAAGTAATTTTAACGAGTATTCCACGCAAAATGATCATATTGATGCTAGAATTGAAGAGTATTTGTAATGCAATGGAAGACGATGATGGTAATGCAACGGCTTACAAGTATGGAACAAGTATTATGATAATAAATTCATCTTTTTAATGATTTTTAACACAAAATGGTTTATATTCTCACAACTGAAGTTCATTTTCATAGATGTTCACTAACATTCGATAGATTAGTAATCGTATCAGGCATTTAAGTTCATACATAACAGATGAGAACAACAACAACAACGCAGTAGTTACAACAACAACAATAACAACAAAAATAAGAATAATAATAATAATAACTAAAATAATCGTTATATCACCATTATTATCAACAATATACTACTGCTACTATGTCTTTCATTACCTTTACCACGTTACACTATAAACAACATTTAACAACAGCTAGTTCAACAACAACAACGCAAATAATAATAAAAACAACATGAATAACAAAAATAAGCTGCTAACAACAACAATAACATCTGCATAGTTCAACAAATCAGCTATAGTCTGTATGTTTTTATTAAATTTTAATAACGGTATATATGTATGCTATTTTAATTGATATTAATGTTATTATTATTGTTATTTCTTATAAATTTTATTGTTATTATAAGCATGGATGTTATTTTTATTAGCTACTATCAATGTTTCAGATGTCTGTCTGCCTGTAATGTTAATAATGCAATCATTATTAGCTCATGTAAAACGTTGAAAACAAAGTGACTAATGAAGCTTAATACCGAAAGAACGAACGAACGAACGAGTGTATGAACAAACGAACAAAAGAATTAATGAATCAACAAACCAAACAAACAACCAAACAATCAAATTGCTTCTTAAACTGTTTATTTATTCATTTAATTATAAAAACATAGTTGACCAACTGCCGTTAGGTGAACAAGTTTTATCATATCTCTCTCTTTCTCTCTCTCTTTCTTTCTCTCTTTCGCTCTCTCTCTCTCTCTCTCTCTCTATATATATATATATATATATATATATATTTGACTTGACCCAAAAATTTCTTACAAATTAAGCAAAATATTTGAATGCAGGTTTTTTATGCTAACCGTGGTGGTTACTATTTAAAAAATTACGTTGGAACAACAGCAATAATAATAATAATAACAATAATAATAAATAATAATAACAACAATAAGAATAACAACAATAATAATTATAATAATATTGATTACTATACGATACGTAATTCATTATATATTTAAATCTGGTTTAGTGGGGGGTTGCCCTTAACACTAATGAACACAATTGGTATGAGTAATAAAATTAATTTACTTGCAGTTTACCTTTAGATTACAATTACAAAGTTACATTAAATTACAGGATTACTTTACAATTACAACATTACATTACAGGATTACATTACAATTACAACATTACATTACAGGCGATAACAGGCGTTAACAGGCGACGTTGATTTTCACTGAAACATTACAATATTGTATTTACATTCGATACCATTTACATAGCAAAACTACATTAAATTACAATACAACAATAAAAAATAACACTAATTACATTAACTTACTACAACATTACATTACAAAATCACATTAACATTACAAGATTCCATTTTAAAACAACTGACCATGTCCAATCTATTTGATAGCTCGCTATCCAACATTAGCGATTTGGTATACGGAAATATAAGGTCAGTATTTTTATGTTTTTGGTTATATAATAATAATATAATAATAATAATAATTATTATTATTATTACTATTACTATTATTATAATAATAATAATTATTCTTGTTGTTCTTATTTTGTTTCGTATTTAACGAACGCAGTTGGAGCTCATGGCCTTGCGAACGTAATCTATTGTCTCCTAAAAAAAATTACTACTGCTACTGCTACTACTTCTGTTGTTATTGCTGCTACTGCTACTACTACTTCTACAACAACTACTACTACTACCTCTACTAATACTGTCACCAGACGCTGATCCAGCATGATTTAGAATAAGCATATACACCTAGTTAAATTCAAAGGCTTCATCCACATAAATCTACTAATACTGCTACTAATCTACTAGTACTGCTACCACGACAGCTACTACTGCTGCTGCTGCTGCTGCTACTGCCACTACTACTACTACTACTACTACTACTTCGACTAAAAATAATAATCGCTATTAATATTATCATTATCATTATTACAATGACGTCATTTTTGACGACATTAATTCCTCACAAGCTGCATCATGGCAAGTAACAGCCAACAAAACGGTCTTCAACAACATATTTCATTTCCTAATAGTGCGACTAACAACAACAACATCAACAGCATCAACAACAACAACATCATTAACAACATCAACAACATTAACAATAATAACAACTGCCATAGCATGATCGATAGTAATGCTTTTAGTAGCATTAACAATTTTAACGTAAGCAAGAACGACAATAACAATTGTTACAACAACAACAACAACAACAGCCCGATTTTTCCAAACAGCGATGACGTCACGAACAATAACAATGCCTATACTGGAAATATGTACTCTTCAAAAAGCTTGCCACACTTCCCTCACTTCCTATTGGATAATTACAAGATGGGTCAAAATTTAAACTGCTATGATTGGTCCATGTCAGCGCAGAGCCCTGGCTTTTGTGAAAATTCGAAACCTTCAACTTTCATGTAAGAAATTTGATTGATAGATGAATGAATGAATGAACGAACAAACGAATGAACGAACGAATAGAAAAATAAATATTATTTTTACAAAATTAATTTAAAAAAATATTGTTAATTCATTTACAAAATGATTGATCTTATTTAAATTAAATTTAGATTAGTTTAATTTATTAATAAGTTTAAATTAGATTTAAAATAGCTTATTTAAATTTCTATCAAAGATTCCAAATAGTCCTGATGACAAGGACGTCATCGCTAACGAAATTCGACCAAGAAACTCTAACTTATTTAAACCAGGGTTCGTTTGTACATCAACAAATATGAACACAAACATGCACGTTCACACGCGAACTTATAGATATATACATGAACAAACAAACAAACAAACAAACAAACAAACAAACAAACAAAAAAACAAACAAAAGAGCATGTTAATCAAACACCTTATACACAAACAAACGTTGTGAATAGATAAAGAATGTATCACAATATAGGCTTTATACACACACATATAAATACACATAGAAACACACACATACACACACAAACACATACACATAGACACACACACGCACACACACACGCAGGTCAGTGTTATGAATTGAAGTTAAAATGTTTAAAAGGCGCTGAAAATGCCAAACTTCTCAAAGTAAGATCATCATTATTAATCCAACTAATCTAATTGAGCCAGATTTAAACATAATTTTTTAACGACTAGCACATTTTTTGCACACACACACGCACAGAAACAAACACGGACATATACACTCAAACATACACAGACAAACAAACACTCCTAAATAG